TAAGTAATGGATATATGATAATTATTCAAGACTATCCTGTCAAAAAGTTATACTATCCATATAGGGTAATGATCTTTTTTTGTCAATTTTGACTTTTATATATTTATATAAGATTAAAAATAAATGTAATTAATTTAATCAAAATTAAATTAAATTAAAAATTAAAATTAATTGAGAGAGATTTAATGTATTAAAGTAAATTAATTAATTGGATTAAAATCAAATCAATTAAGAATTAAAATTAATTGAGAGAGAAATTTAAGCTATTAAATATAAATACAATTAATTTAGTCAAAATTAAATTAAATTAAATCAAATTAAAGATATTAAGCAATGGATACATAACGATTATTTAAAGCTAGCCACATGTTAAAAACTTAGATTATTCACATATGACAATTATTTTTTTACCAAAAATTTTGATTTTTATATATTTATAAAAAATTATTATCTGAATAGCAATTTAATTCAGACTAACATGATAGAAAAATCATTAAGTAATTCTTATGTAAATACATTGCACAAAGAGTTTTGCCATGTATAATTAATCTATTTGCCCCGTAAAAAATCACGTGGTAGCATGGACTTATCTAATGATTCTTATGTAAATATTGATATATACATTGTACGAATAATTTTCTTGTCTTCTATCCTTTTTTTTTTTGGATAATTCTTATGTACATACTAATAAATACATTGTGTGCAGAGTTTTTCTTATACTTCAAGTATTGCCTTATACAGATTTGTATTCTTTTTTTCCTGTTTTATCATCTAGTGTTTTAAACTTTAAAGTTAGAATTTTAACACTTCAAGTAATGTTAAAAATTATACAAATTATTTTATATAAAAGAGATTGCAATTTAAGAATAGCTTTTGATACAAAAGAGGTCACAGTTTATAAATAAAAGAAAAGGCTGTAAGTGTTAAAATTTAATTTTAAACCTATTAAATATTATCACTTAAAGATAATTAAATGAACTAAGTTAAATTCTTGATTTAATTAAAATATAATTTCAGCACATGATAAATGGAGTTTTTGTACTTATACCACCCTAAAAATTAATGAACTTGCATAAGATATCGATTTGAAATGTATTTGCTACATTTTATTATAAGAATAAGATAGTAATGCAGCATGTGAATTGAAACTAAGGCACAAGCTAACACTATTTAAATTTAACCTGTATTAAAGGTCACTAAAATGGACTTTTGGGTCTCTCAGCCATAAGTTATTTGATAGTTAGGCTTTTTATTAGGAAAAAACAGATCAGAGTGTTGCTAAAGCCCTGCATCCTTTTGATTTTCATCAAACATGGCAAACACACACACACGTACGTGTGTGTGTGTATATATATATATATATAATATATGTATATATGTTGCTGTAGCCTGACGGCCTGACCAGACCTTTTGTAGTGTCCGTTATTTCACATGAATCGTGATTAATCAGGTTTCCTGCATTATCAACATTTGATGTATCTCCACCCTCATATCGATGGCAAACCACTCTCCGATACAATGATATTCACGTTAGCCCTTCCCGTCTTCTCCAGAGCAGGATAAAGTGAATCAGCCAATACATCAAAGAGATTTTGGTACAGAATACATCAAAGAGATTTTGGTACAATAAAACTATGTAATTCCAGGGGTAGTGAACCAGGCAAAGTCGAGGCAAATATTAAGGGTTACCTGTTACGCTGAAGTAGGGGTATATTACAGCAAGAAGTGGTGAACTATTACTTGCCAGGAAGCTGATAACCGGTATTATAAATGAACTTGAAATGTCACTAAATGAGCCATCTGATGGAGGAGAGGATGTTTCCAAGCAAAGTTGAGGCTACTGCTTTTGAGACCTTAATCTGGTCGTAAAGACCAGCTGCTGCAAGGGGCATTGTGAACATTTGTCATGGCAGGCAGAACAAATTGCACCCGCTGGTCACTAGGTGACCCCTCATTTTCCAACTGCAATGCATCGGAAGTTGACATCAGGAGAGAAGGAGACAACATTTCTATCCGGATCCAGTCATTTGCAGCTACAACATCAGAATCAAGGATGAGTTCTATGTTGGATCCTCTAAGGACATTAGAAGGTTTCCTGATCTGGATCATAAATTCTCATCCTTCCAATGCAATTTGGTTCATAAAGACTTCCAACTTCTGCTACTCTTGGTAAATTGTTTTCCATTTCTAGTGTAGAAGACACCTTTGGATTGTGAACCTACATATACAAAATCGGGTCAAGATTTGATCAGAGCCAAACTCTGTATGTCGGTTGTTAAAGATGTGTTATCACATATTTAAGTTTTGGCTTGCTTGTAATCTTACGTTCAAGGTGGCCTCTCTATATATTGCTAATTGGTTTTACGTTACATGTTTAACATGATATCAAAATTAATTTTTATTATATACTTATTCCTACCGTACACCCTTTTTTAGGGATTATTATTTAGAATTGGCTTTAATCCACACTATTGGGGGTTGGAGCACATGTGAAGTGAAAAAGAAAAAACCTATCCAAGACAATAAAAAAACATACAGTATGATTAAGATGTTCCTGAAGGTTTTAGTGAGTAAGACTGACATACCTGTTATATTCCAGGTGAAAATTGAGATATCAATAATCCCAAAAGCAGCATATTTATAGCAGCCATATATGAGCTCTGGTATTTCTTGTATTGAATGAAGCCATAGATCCTAGAGGAGAAAGAACTCCAACTAACATCCATTATTTGTTCCATCTCTGTATATATAGACAAAGGCAAGCTATCCAGGACCAGGAAAAGAGTAGAATCTCCACGTTTTCGATATCTATTGCCCTGTCAAGCAGTCCATTGGAATATTCAACAAAAAACCAATTGCTGGAATAATATTGACAAAGAAGCTAGCAACTTAAAGCAGATAGAGCAGAACTTCACCAAACTTTGTTTATTTTACATGTATTTTTCTTCTTTTCTTCCTGGTAAACTCTACCAAGTTGCCATGAAATCTATCAATCCTGGCTGCCTTTCAATATTATAGCAGCAAAAAGACTAAAGTTTTAATAAATTTGGGATCAATGGAGAACAATAAAACCTGGTTTCTTTGGACAAATCAACAGACAAAGTTGTGATCATCCATTTGTACAACAAGGTTGCATCTATGGTGTTCACAACGTTGTAGGATTTAGGAAAGGCCACTTTTGTCAGTGCTCTGCTTCATGCAAATAATATTGCCAGGATTAACTGATTGGTGGCATATACAGGAAATTATACATAAACTAGTAAAATTAATTGTCTTCCACTAGTTTTGGCGAAAATTGAACCATTTGCTTGGACTTTAAATTTTACTGTTGAAAACCAAAACAATGTCAAAAGAAGTAGGAGAGTATACTTTTCAACAAAATAAGTTCAGACTGCCAACTTATTTTAAATCTTTAAAGAGGGATTAGAATAAAAAAGGGATTTTGTTAAAAAAAACTATTTAAGATTATCACATTAAGGTCTATAAATTTATAAAACTTATTGATTGGTCTATAAATTATTATACTATTTAATAATATATACTTGATTTATTTTATTTAACACGGTCTATAAATTTAATTGATTCAAATTTTTTAATTTAATTTTTTTAATAATTTTTAATGCGAAACCTTTGGAATTTAATCTAAAAATCTTACTCAATTCTTGTCATATATGTCACATTTTCTTTTTCTATATGGTGCATTTTTTGGGGGGTATTTATATGGTGTATTTTTCTTTTTTACTTGATAATTATATAAATAATTTTTTTTCCATTTTTTAGACTGAGTAAGATTTAGTTTTGATCATCGAAATATAAGTTTTATGTTGTATTTTCCTCTCATTTCGTTTCTACCAATAAATCATATTTTTTAATTCAACAGTTAAAGATTTTTAGGTTTTGTTTAGTATATTTTCTCTTTAAATCAATTTAAACATAATGATTTATGTCAAATTTAATGAATTTATAAAAAATATATATTTATTTTGTTACAATTTTTCAATGGATCCAATTTCAATAACTAAAAAAAATCATACATTCTCTTTGTCACTTAACTCATGAACCAAAAATTAGTTGATAAAACATAAAATAATAATAACAGTAAGTCTAATATTTTATAATTTTGAAGTCGACTTTATGAAAAGTAAAAAAAAAAAAAATTATATTAAGTTATAATTTTAAATTTTTGTACACTACTCATTTATATATAAAAAAATAACATTTTTATCTATTTCTTTAATTTTTATATCATCTCTTATTACTTATATCTACATTTTTTGTAATCTATCTTTTAAAGCTTTAGTCTTTTCAAAAATTTAGAAATACATTTCTGCTAATTAATGTATAAATAAATCTATATTTCATATGTCGAAATTATCTTAAACGATTTTTTTATCTTTTTTTCAATTCAAATTAATTTTAATTTTTTTTAATCTTTTCATTTTTATTTTATCTTCGTCTCAATATTTTTATCTCAATCACACTTAATTTTTTTAATATTATTTTTTAATGATCTAATGTTAATTTATAAATAATAGTGCAGGTCTTATAATTATTTTATTCAATTCATCTTTAACTTAAAATGTATGTTATAATCATACAGTAAATTTGAGGTACTTCATCATTCATCATTTTACTTTAATCTTATGATTTATATCATTTTAGTTGAAAAAAAAATCCAAACATTGAAAATATTGAGACGATTGATTGCATTTCTTAGTAAGATAAACTAAAATGGATATGCATGCCTTAATGGCTTGAAAAAAAAAAAATTGGAAACGGATTGTAAGACTACAAGTTACAATATACAATTATGAATGGAACTATCAATTATGAAAGATTCACATATTTTTCATCCAAAAAATGTAAGCAAATGTGCATTATTTTATCCAATTCGAAAAAAAAAAAAAAAAAAAAGAAGCAATTGTAAGCTCTCTATTTTAAGACAATGATAATTCAACATTAAAATTAAAAAAAAAAAAAAAAAAAAAGGAAAACAAAAGGAAGCTTTTCAAAAGCAAATAAAAAAAAAAAAAACAAAGGAAAAGATCAAAAGACCTATCTTTCTCTAAACCTTGCGTTATTAATCTCCGTTTTGTTATTATCATTCTGTAAACCAAATAATTTTCCATTTTTTGCCCATTCTATAAAAAAAAAAAAAAGGAACGCTACCATCCGCCATCAGCCACGTTTTGATCAATCATGGAATCTGATTTTCAATCCAAACACATTGGCAACCGTTGGATTTGATGACTCCGGCGTTGACATGTCGCCGGCGTTGCTAGACCCTGGAGGAGCTTCTTCTTCAACACACAATGGTCAGGCTTCTTCTGTTCCTTTTACAGTGAATACTTTTGGCTCTTTTTCTGTTTCTCAATCTAAGTTTTCACAAGAAAAAATGAACTCATCTTCTAGTTTTAGTTTCGGAGGTGATTTTAGTTCTGGGTTTTCGAACTCGACTCCGAATAATCCCAATTTTAGCTTCAATACGCCTTCATTACAACGACCATCTGGGGGCCTTGCTAAGCCAAGGCTTTTCAAAAGACAGCATTTGAATTCCCACAATTTGAAATCTTCGGGCAATTTAGAAACCCGAGTAGGTCCCGGTTTTAATCCGTTTCGACCTGTTTCCTGTGTTCCCCATCCTAGCCCATCTGATGGGAGTGACTTGGTTGGGAATTTAGAGGGAGAAGTTGTGGAGGAAATGAAGAATTTGAGAATTGGGAAGACTTTTGGTTTTGATGATCAAAGTTTAGTTTCCAAGCTTCCGGATGATTTAAGGAAGTTGAACATTGAGGATAGTTCAAAGGATGATTGGCGTAATGAGAATGATGGCAATGCTGGTAGTTGTGTTGGAAGAGGCGCGGAAACTGAAAAACTTCTGAATGAATTGCGGAGCAAGTTGAATATTAAAGACAGTGAGGATGTTGATGATGGAGCTAAGAAGGATTTTGTATTTAAGGGTGGAAAAGATAGTGATTCTTTGGTTGGAAGCTCGACAGATGCACTTCATGACGGGATTAAGAATTTGAACATAAAGGGGTTTGGTGATGGTAAAACCAATGAGAGAGATGGTTTTTTCTCTAGGAGTAGTGAAAGCTCTGGTCAACTTGGTGGGGAAAGAGAAAAGTTATTGTCAACTGAGATGGAGAGGAAGCTGAATATTTGGAGTGTAATGGGAGATTCTACTGGTCAAACGGACAGGGGATTTTCTTCTTTGCAAATCTTGGGAAAGGATGTTCAAACTGAAAGGTTGGGTGATAAGAAGTTATATGAGTTTGGTAAATCAATTCACAACCAATCTACTTTCCAGCCAGCAAAACGGGGTTTATATGCAAGTAGTAAAGTTCATATGGATCAACTAAAAACTGATATTAAAACTGCTGGAGCCGCCGCATCAACAACTTTGTTTTCATCTCATGCCGTGCATTTCCAGCCTGGTGCAAATACCTTTGGCATGACTTCTGATAAACCAAAAAAGAAGGATGAGTTTGGTTTTACAGCCAAAGAAGATACTATAGAAACACCTTTTGTAGAATTCAGAACTCCAAATTCACAGACAAATATATTCTTTGGCTTAACCAAAAAATTGGAATTCACTGCAAAAAGGGAAGCTGGTACATGCCCAAAATTCAAGAAAAGGAGGGCAAAGTTGAAGCAGCCTACACCAGTCCAGCTATGGTATGGACCATATTTTATTTCACATAACACTGATGCTCATGATAATGCAGAGGCTTCTGAGTCTTATTCATCAATGGATGTCTCACCATATCAGGAAAAACTCACTGATACTCAATGTTCAAGAGAATCTTCTGTACCTTCAGATGAGTCTTTCAGTCTTGATAACAAAGATACATCCAGGTGTTCACACCCAGTAGTTTCAAGTGATGCAATAGATGAGGATCTGGTTGCTGCAACACAACATATGAATATAAATGAAGGTGGGGAGAAAGATGAAGAAATAAAAGAGGGGGGTTCTGGAAATGTTTTTGATAAAGGTGTTGCTGCTGAAGCTCCTCTAGAAGATTCTGTGTCTGGGGATGAAACTGAAAGCTTCATAACTGCAGCCGAGGATATAGATTATAACAGTGATATTGCTCTTAGTTCAGCTGAAAATGAAGCCTGTTCAGGATCAAATATTGAGAGGCAAGATAGTGATGCCCAGATGTACTTTGATTCCCCTTCTAATTCAGAACATATAAGTGGGTTTGACTTCACCTTTGCTGCATCGTCTTCTGCTCAAAGTCAACTATCATCACCAAAACGCCACCACAAAAAGAAGAATTTGACTAAAATTGCTTTTGATTCTCCTAATTCCAGTTCAAATATGAGAATTCCTTATGCATCATCCTCTCTACAGTTTTCTCCTTACCCTGAAGCTTCATTGCATTTATCCGTTGGGCAAGGCCAGAAAACAGATTTATCTACTTTGCAAAGCAAGGTTGGAGGGAATTCTGTGGTGGACAAAGGACCTGAGGTCAAGCATGAGCCTAATTTGACTGGTGCAAGCACTGCAGCTCAGGAATTATGTGAAAAGTGGCGATTAAGGTTATTATTAGTTTTTGATAATATACATTCATTCTTTTAAAGCATATAGTTTCTAAATAGATTAGTTATTCTTATTTTCTCATATATCATATTTGGTGCATCTTTTAATGTGATGATGGGACCTCTATTTGTGCTTGACTTCCCTCCACTGATGAATCCATTTTGTTTTACTGATATATACCAGGGGAAACCAAGCCTATGCAAATGGAGATTCATCCAAAGCTGAGGAATATTACACACAAGGGATAGGTTGTATTCCTGCGAGTGAGACATCTAGAAGCTGTCTTGGGGCTTTGATGCTGTGCTATAGCAACCGTGCAGCTACACGAATGTCTCTTGGAAGAATGAGAGATGCACTAGGAGATTGTATGATGGCCATCACAATAGATCCCAACTTTGTAAGGGTTCAACTCAGAGCGGCGAAGTAAGGCACTGCATTTGTTTCATTTTCTTTAATTTGAGCCACCCCCGTTCTGGAGTTGTATGTGTTTCTGCTAGAACTCTATAAATTATTTTCTACACTAAACTTATTCAAGATTGAGAATTTATTTGTTTTGAAGTCTTTGTTGCATCCTGCATGAGGATTTACAAGTGTTTGTTTCAAATTGTTCACAGTCGCTGGTCTGATCCCTATTTTTAATCTTAACCTTTCCATTTGATTGCCCTTTTGAAGTGATTAATATATCTCATTTCATGCAGTTAAATTACCTACTATGTTTTCCATTTTTTACATGTCTGTTTTCATTTGGAGCTAATATTGCTCTTCATTCTTATCCAGTTATTATTGTTAGGCTGTTGGTCTTGGTATCAATTTGGATGTCAGTGCTTTGGCATTAGTTTGATTTTTGTTTGTTATTGGCTTTCTCTTAGCTCTCCTAACTTGGGCTTCTTCTTTATTTCTTTTCCTTCAAGTTGCTACCTTGCCCTTGGGCAAGTTGAGAATGCAACGCGATATTTCAGAAAGTGCTTACAATCAGGAACTGGTGTTTGTGTGGACCAAAAAATTGCAGTAGAAGCCTCTGATGGCCTACAAAAGGCACAGGTGCTTATTGTTATTATTATTATTGCTCTTCTTTTATTCAAGTCCATTTGATACTGGTTTGTGTTAATTGTAACATTAATTAGTATTTACAATTTATTCTTTAGATCCATAAAGATTAATGAATTTTGAAATAGACCCTATGAATAAATGCATTAGTCTTCATATTAGCTTTTGCGTCTGAGTAGCCCATCTTCTTTGAATTATGGCTGCAGATAGGTCAGTATGTTGTGGTTTGAATTTGCAACAGACCTTTGAAGCCGAATAAACATGTTCCATTTAGTTTGGTTTTTCCACTAGTTTAGGATCTTAAACTACATGAGCCCAAGTTTTTTGCACTGTCAAGAAAATGTTCCTGAGCTTCTCATAATATACGATTGCAATCAGATTAATACGACTGTCATAATAATCACATAGGAAATAATAAACTCCTGGTATGCAAATAATTTCATTGCATTTGCAAATGAGTCCTGATATTTGTCCTTAGGCTTTGAGGAGCTGAAGTCCTTTGAACAAGTTTCAGAGCTTGATACTTCTTAGTTTCAACTGTTGCTTCTGAATCCACTATCTTTGACTAAGTGGAACCTTTAATCTTTTGGTTGTAAAAAGCTTGGTCATTAAGATGTCCTACAAAAGTAGTTCAGTGGATCATAGCTGCCCTGCCTAATCTCTCAATGATTCTCATGTAGGAGGAGAATTAATTGATAGATTTCAACTTTTTTAGAAAATCTTATATGTTTCTATTACCATTGATGGATGAAAATAATACATCAATCAGCAGATTCAGGGGCAAAAAGTGATGCCGAAAGTGAAAAAAGTGGAGTACTAAATGAAGCATAATGGTTCCACTTGCTTATAATTGGTGAACAACTTTAAAGGCGTGATAATGCATCTTATGAGTTAGGAAAATTACTATTCTCTAATTATTAACTTGCATGGCTAAATTAATTCACTTCCTCGTTACATGATGTTTTGAGGAGTTTAATAGCTATTTGCTCTACTGTGGAACCACACATTTCTGAATTAAAACTTTCTTGCAAAGTCTGTACATGTGTGTGTTTTTTTGGTGGTGCTGTAGCTTTAAATATTGGAAATTTGATATCATTAGCTAGTGAAAGGTGTATAAGTGTCTTGATAGCCACTTTTTCCTGCATCGTATATTGAATTGTAGCTTTGGCATTTAAAAAGATTTTTTTTTTTTTTGGTGATCCTCCTCCTTTCTTTAATATGTTCCTTAACCTTGATAACATGTTAGAGCTTTTCTGAATTTATTCATTTTTCAGCTTTACTATGCTGGTTCATTTGTGGTGGCGATAATGTGACTGATGAGTGGTTTCCTCTGGCAGAAATTGTCTGAATGCATATGTCGGTCTACTGAACTTTTGCGAAGGAAGACATCTGATGACGCAGAGAGTGCTCTGGAAGTAATTGCTGAGGCCTTGCAAATAAGCCTGTACTCAGAAAAATTACTTGAAATGAAAGCAGAGGCCCTTTTTGTTGTATGTGTACTTTTGTTCATATTTACTTGCCTAAATAAGGAACTTCTGAAAGTAGATGGTTTACTGTTATTTAAGCATATATTGAATCACAGTAAGATTGTTGGAATTGTAATAACATTTTTGCTATATGCAGCTGCGCAAATATGAAGAGGTAATTCATCTGTGTGAGCAGACATTTGATTCTGCTGAAAAGAATTCTCTTTCATTCGACATCAATGGGCAACTGGCCAATCTGGATAGTTCTGGGTTCTCAAAGGACTCTACCTTTGGAATTTGGCGGTGTTGCCTGATCTTCAAATCTTACTTTCATCTAGGAAAGCTTGAAGAGGCTACTGCTTTGCTGGAGAAGCAAGAGAAATTGCAATCCACTACTGTTAGGTTAAATTCACTGCCCTTCTTATTCAAAATATTCTAATTTATGTGATGGAGTACAATGATTGTTGCACATTTTTAGTCTGTCCAGGGATGGAAGCAACAGTTTGGAATCATTAATTCTATTGACTGCTACTGTACGTGAGCTCTTATGTCATAAGGTATTCCCTTTATATGTTTTTTACTCTTGAGAAACAATTTCTAGTTTATGCAGAACTACGCACAGCATTTTGCTTTTTGTTGTTGTGATTGGCCTTTTTTATCTTTAAGGCAGTGGGATTGACTTTTGAGTGCTGCAACTCCTAGGTACATGTAAAAGCATTTTTCCTTCACATGCTTATAGGGGATTCAAAAACATATTGCTACCTAAATTTGTGGGATTCACTTACTCTTTGCTTTCAGAAGTAAAAGGCAAAATATGTGTTTATATACAATGTAAAAAATGTTTCATTTTTGAAAAACTACAACGTAAAACATAATTGTTTTTGGATAACAAAATGCATGATTTTACTGCTTTGTAGGACAATTATATCAAAATTGGTGTTGTATGTTGATTATTTGTTCATTTTTAATCAATTATGATTCTACGTACTGTCATTTTCCTTGTCCTTTGGGTACACATGTTTCTACCATTCCGTTTACTTTATAGCAACTTTTGAGGAAGTAGTACTGATGGCAAAAGAAAAAAAAGGCCCAAATCCAATCGGTTCTGACCTGATTGAACCCATTGGGTGGAATTTTTGGGTTTGGAAATTGTGGATTAGGTTGGGTAAAATCAGGTTTTAAATTAAAAAGTTGGTTCTGGCCTCTGGGTCAAGGCCCTTTTTTTTTTTTTTTGCATGGTATATGTTGTATTAAAATATTATGTTTTATTTAATTAATCTTATATTCATAAATATTTTATTTAATACTAATTGAAGACATTAATTCAATAATAAAATATAACTAAGATGTAATTTATACTAAGAAGTAAATTATTTCATGAAATGTATATTAAATAAAATTTTAAAAATAATTTTTGGTTTGGATTGGATTGTGTCGGGAGCAGATGATAAATAAATTTTCTAGTCAGGGTAGGGGTATTAAAAATCATTATGTAGGTTGAGGTGGCTTTGGGTGAAAATATTATAAAGTCAGGGCAGGCAAAAAATGTCCCATTGCCATCCCTAAGTAAAAAGCTAGTACTGAGAAGTTGTAACAACATCTAAATGGTGCCTAGAAAAGTACCCGCATCTATTACCTTATAACTTTAAATTTTATTTCTTTCTTTTTGTCAGAAGTCTGATATGCTTTGTGGTGTATAGGTAAAAACTTTGGTATCAATGCAATTATTTATTTCATCTGCAGGCTGCAGGGAATGAAGCGTTTCAATCAGGAAGATACTTAGAAGCTGTTGAACATTATACTGCTGCATTATCTTGCAACATGGAGTCACGGCCTTTTGCAGCTGTTTGTTTTTGCAATCGTGCTGCTGCATACAAAGCAATGGGCCAAGTCACTGATGCTATTGCTGATTGCAGCCTTGCCATAGCACTTGATGGCAATTATTTGAAGGTTTTTCTGCAAATTGATGTTATCTTTATGCTCATACATATGAATATAATTTTCTAGAGGAAGAAGTGGTGGGAGGAATTTGAGGTGAGAGATTAAATTAGTCCATTGTATTTTTAATATGATTGGAATAAACAGGTATATCAGATTTAAGGGTCGTCCTAAATAAAACATAAAATTGGATAATCTAAACTGCAAGATGCTTCCAAAGGGGGAAAGTCAATGAATTCATCTAATAGCTGCTAAACACATGCACAAGCTCAATTGGTAGGACTGCCTGGATGGTGTTATTGTTGTATTGACAAGCTGAGAGTTACTTCACATTTAGGTTCTTCCTCAACAAAGTGATTTATGGAATTAAGAAATGTAAATTATAGTGTTTGCTGAGACAATTTCCTTTTCTCCCTCTATTTGGAATTATTTGTTTGTATAAATAAAATAAAAGGAAAAACAGATGATTGTTGCTTATCAGCTTTTTGTTTATTTCTTTTTTAAGTAGCTTTGGTTGGCACATAACATGTTATTGAAGGATGCAATATAACCATAGATGCTGAATGCAAAGGACATAGAAAACGTATAATTTCTGTATGGTTTAACAGAATTGTCACAGGCTGAGACATGCTTTATAGCCCTTCCACTTTGTTGTGCTTGACAGATGATTATTAAGCTTGCTTCTCTTTAAGGCATGCTTTATGACATGTAAGAATGTGACTTGTGCCTCCTGACACTTTAATTTTTTTATTCAATCAGTTAATGTTGTTTTCTTTATTTCCTTTATATCTTTTTTTTTGGAACATCTTATTGCTTTGTGCTTGGCTTGCTGTTACACACCTTAAAATGCATCTACCAAATGCCTTTTCTAGAACTTTCTCATAATTTTCTTATTCTCTTGCTTGTTACCAACAATATATATTTCCAGAAATTTCTCTCGTATGCCAGAGTAGCCTCAGCATAATATTGTGTTGTATGGGTCTAAAAAATAAGTATATGGCAGCAATGGAAAGTGTTTGTACAAATTGTGTTCTTTGGATTACCTATTTCGTTAGTTGCTCTTTAGACATCTATTTCGAGAATTCAATCCTGGCAGATATTGCTTTCTGAATGATTGGAGCCCTCAGGCTGCATTCTTTGTTGTATGTTTATCCTCTTTCAATACATTTCTCTGCTGCCTATTATCTTCTATGGGCATTTCTTTCTGATTTTATTATATTCGCACCTTGAACCAGAATTTTCTGTGTTGTATATTCTATACTGCTATAGGGTTACAAATATATACAGCTCTTAAGTGCTATAATTAAGGGATATGACTGAGAGATCTTAGGAAGAAAATCTCTAATCAAATCCCTAAATACAAGGAAACAAATAAAGACAGAAGAGAAAAATAAGGAGAGAGATATGAGAGAGGCTTTTCAAGATTTCTAACACTCCCCCTCAAGCTGGTGCATAGATGTCCTCCATTCCCTGCTTGCTAGTGACCTCCTGGAATCTCACCGTAGGAAGCCTTTTAGTCAGAACATTTGCCAACTGGTTTTCTGTTGGCGTGTAATGAGTACTAATCTATCCACTGTCTAGCTTCTCTTTTATAAAATGTTTATCAATCTCTAGTGTTTAGTCCTGTCATGCTGAACCGGAGTATGAGCAATGCTGATTGTCGACTTGTTGTCACAGTATAGTCGCATAGAACCCTGTCTCTTTATTTGCAAATTATTTAAGATGATGTTTACCCTTAACAATTCACATACACCTTGTGCCATAGCTTTGAATTCTGCCTCAGTGCTAGACCGTGCAACAACATTTTGCTTTTTACTTCTCCAAGACACTAAATTTCCTGCCAGAAAAATACAATATCCCGAGGTGGACCTTCTGTCAACAACAGAACCAGGATAGTCTGCATCTGTGTAAGCCTCAAGAATTAGACCATTTCCTTTTCTAAACATGATCCCTCTGCCTGGAGTAGTCAAGGTAATTGAGAACTCGATCCCCTGCCTGAAGATGTTCCAACTTGGGATTGTGCATAAACTGACTTATTATACTCACTGCATACACTATGTCTGGTCTTGTATGGGAGAGATAAATTAATCCCCCAACCACTCTCTGGTATTTCTCATCTACATCATCTCCTCCCTCATTAGTACCAATTCTCTGATTCAGATCAATGGGTGTACTTGCAACTTTGCTGTTTGGCTTTCTGGTCTCTTTAAGAAGGTCAATCAAGAACATGCTTCCTTTGAGGTAGAAATATTCCTTCCTTAGAGTATGCAACTCCTATACCCAAGCAGTGTTTTAGTCTCCCAAATTCTTTTATTTCAAATTCCTGTGAAAGGTACCTTCTCAAAGAATCTCCTTCTACAGCATCATTCCCGGTGGCTATGATATCATCAACATACATCGGTAAGACTGTAATCTTGCCGATATTCCCATGTTTTATGAATAGGGTGTGATCTCCTTGACTCTGCCTATATCCCTTATGAATCTCCCAAACCAAGCCCTAGGTGATTGCTTTAAGCCATATAGAGCTTTTACCTTATTATCCCGAAAACTCTCACCAATCTAGGTGGTGGTTCCATAAAAACTTATTCTAGATCCCCGTGTAGAAAAGCATTCTTTACGTCAAATTGATTCAAAGGCAAATCAAACATGGCAGCAAGAGATGTTGAAATTCTGACTCTGTTCATTTTTGCTACTGGAACAAAAGTCTCTTGATAATCTACCCCATATGTTTGAATATAGCCCTTTGCTACTAGTCTAGCCTTGTACCTTTCAAGAGTACCATCAGCCTTATTTTTCATGCTAAACACTCACTTGCACCTAACTGGTCTCTTATCTTTAGGTCGATTGACAATTTCCCAAGTTTTATTTTTCTCAAGGGCACTCATCTCCTATCTTATAGCTTGTACCTATTTCTAGTCTCTTAATGTTGAAGCTAAATTTATAACTCTTAAGTGCTATAATTATGGGATATGATTGAGAGATCTTAGGAATAAAATCTCTAATCAAATCCTTAAATACAACAACAACAACAACAAACTAAGCCTTATATCCTATAACTTTGGGGTCGGTTGTATGAGAGACCCAAAAAAATTTTAGGTCGTAATTTTGAATCTTCTTACACCACTCATTTCTATCACAAACAACCGTTTCATCTACTTAACTTTCATATCATTTCTTATTGCTTACATCCACATTTTTCATGATCTACCTCTAGAAGTTTTGGCCTCTCCCAAATTTAGAAGCTCATTTCTCCTAATTGAAATAGGCCTACATTTCACATGTCCAAACCATCTAAAACGGCTCTCTTTCATCTTTTCCTCAAGTTGAACTACCTCTAATTGTCCTCGAATCTTTTTATTTCTAATTTTGCCTCCTTTCGTTTTACTAGATATTCATCTAAGCATCCTTATCTCAGCTACACTCTTTTTCTTTTCATGTTATTTTTTAATGGCCTAACACCGAGTCCCATATGATAATGCAGGCCTTATAGCTGTTTTACACTTCACTTTTAACTTTAAAGGCATGATGCGATCACACAACACATTCGATGCTATTCTCCACCTCACTCATCCTGCTTGAATCTTATGATTTGCACCTCTTTCTATCTTAGCATTGCTCTGAATAATTGATCCCAAATATCGAAAATAACTACTCTTTGTACAACCTCACCATCCAACTAAATCACTCTAGCACTCACTTCTCTATTACCACTAAACTTACATTCCATATATTTAGTTTTAAATCTACTTAATTTAAAACCTCGAGACTCCAATGAATGCCTTCATAATTCTAATTTTGCATTAAGATCATACTAGTTTTAGCAACTAAGACTATATCATGGGCAAATAACATGCACCATGGCACCTTATTTTGGATATGTCTAGTGAGCTCATCCATAACTAATGCAAAAAGAAATAGACTTAGTGCTGATCTTTAATACATTCCTAGGGTACTGGGAAAGCTATCAATCAAGCTTTCAAACATCCTCACATTAGATTGTAACAACTAACAAGCTTAAAATCAAATCCCTAAATACAAGAAAACAAATAAAGAGAGAAGAGAAAAATAAGGAGAGAGATATGAGGGTGATTTTTTTGGATTTCTAACAAATAGTGTCATGAAAAGAGGACAAAACTTAGATGAAATTCTCTAAGTAAAGTTTGTGAAATTCCTTCTTAAAAATGATTTAATAAAAATTTTAATAAAAAATCTAAACCGATAGAATAATAAAGTTCAATGTAAAGATCAATAATATATAAAGAATTAATAAAAATTTCGTATATAATTTAAATTTGATAGGTACTTATTCAACGATAAAAATTCTATCAAAATTTTTTTAAAAAATACCTATCTAAAAAATTTATTATTTTTTTTAAATTTTACACAATTTATGCAACATGACTTTTCAATCTATTGGTTTTTATTTTTTATTTTATTTTTTATTTAATCATTTTTAGTAAGGAATTTCACCTAAAAAACTTTATCTAAATCTTTCCTTGTGAGACATTTTGTCATTTTGGTTGTGTAAATTAATATGTAGATTTGATGGTTAGTTATGTTAATCTACTTTTTATTTTCCTCGGACCTGTGTCAAGCTTATTGAACACTTTATAGTTGAAATGAGTACAAGGATATAACCTCCAGAATAAAAAGAAAAACTTACAAAAACAGGAATTTACCTGTGTACGACACATACAAAACCTTGCTTGAACCAAATTCCAATCAACATAGATTGTCAATTAATGTGAAATCCACGAATGATTTTAAAATGATGCCTTTGGAGAGTCTTTTTCTTAAAAAAAAAATTAATACCTATTCATTTTTGGAAATTTTTGTTGTCTTCTATACAATAACTTTCTTGGTAACACATCACATTTGTTTGTGCACACTTTTGCAGGCTATTTCTAGACGAATCACTTTGTATGAGATGATTAGAGACTATGGGCAAGCAGCTAGTGATCTTGAAAGACTTCTTTCTCATCTCAAGAAGCAAATGGAGGCAAAGACCAATAAAATTGAAAAACCTGACAGGTCAATGAACTTGGCACATGAATTGAGACAAGCTCGTATTTGGCTTTCTGAAATCGAGGAAGAAGGGAAAAAGGAAGTCCCTTTGGATTTCTATATGATTTTGTAAGTTTCTTATTCATTTGTGATTATAGTGGCGTTTTGAATGCATTGAGGTTCATGTGAACATGGATCTTGAGGCTACTTTCTTCTTTGGCCTGATATTAAATCATTTGTTAGCTTTTACTCTAAATCTTTTCAAATATTATTATTATCTGGGTAGTAAATTTTAGATTTCATGAAGGGTGTTTTAAATTTCCTGTTCATCTTTGTTTTTCTTTTTCTCTGTGGCCAAATCCATTCATCTTTGTTGAATAATGGAATAGAGGAAAAGTAGCAAGTTTGTGACATTTTGTTGCCCAGTGCCATATTTATGGATTATGGAACCATATTTGTTATTTTAATTGTAATGGCAGGGGGGTTGAACCATCTGCTTCAGCAGCAGAAATTAAGAAGGCATATCGGAAAGCTGCTCTTCGACATCATCCTGACAAGGTTTCTTATACCTGCTGCTATATGCATATTTTTAGAAGTTTGGAGCTGATATGAGAGGTTTTCTACTTATGTAGGCTGTTCAATCACTGGTAAGAAATGAAAATGGAGACGACACGCTTTGGAAGGAGATAAGAGAAGAAGCATACAAGGATGCTGACAAACTATTTAAGATAATTGGAGAGGCATATGCAATACTTTCAGACCCTATCAAGGTAAATATTATCCTCATATATGGAATAAGGAATTTGTTTATGCCTTCCTTAAGGTGCATTATAATACCTTTATGTTTTTGGTATATGGAACTAATTATTGCCAAGTGATTGCTAGCAAAGAGTTCTCAAGTTACTCCCATATTAGGTTTGCGACTTGTTGGATGCAGGGGTGTTCCAGTCAACGGCATGTTTTAAAAGGCAAACAATCTTGAGTTGGGGCCTTTTATGCCACTTATACCTAATAGGAATTTTCTCTTAAAACATGAATCAAATGGATTAAAAGGAATAGTAATAGTGAAGGAAAATTTTTTTTTTTTTGATAGGGGGAGAGAGAGAGAGAGAGGGGCAGGATAATGGAAGTCTAATTCATTCCAATTGGCACTTAATAGTAGATCACAGGTAATGCATATTGTGCGGTTGGACGTTTTGTCCAACTGGTAAAATCCAAAACCCACCTCAATACACCCATAAATTATACTTGGCCCATCTTGTTTCGAAATCCGCCCTTTAGCCCTTTGACCATTCAATGCAGTTAGTCGAAAGTTAAGAGTTAGTCAATAATTACTTACAAATGTGAAAAGAGATAATTACTATTAAATAATTTAAAAATTAAAAAGTTAATTAAAGAATGATGAAAACATTATTTATAATTAAATAATGTTGAAAATATTTTTTATTCAAGTTTATTAACTCATAAGTGAATAAAAAGAGACTGATAATTATGAAAAAAGGAAAAAATATAAAGAAATGAATTAGTTAAGATTATGCCTAATCAATGATAAATTAGGTATAATTTTTAATTTGGTTTATATTTTCTCTTCTCTCCCCATCTAATTTAATTAGAATAATCATTTTGTTTAGATTTATATTTTACTTTAAAATTATAAGTTTTTTTATTGTTAATAAATAATTTTAATTGGTTCATTTTTTTAATTTGAACTTTTCCTTTTTTTCATAGTTATGACTCTCTTTTGTATTTGCTTATGAATTGATAAACTTGAAAAAAAAATGTTTTCATAATGTTCTCTTTTTACATTTTTATGCAACTATTGATTAAGCACATTGGATGGTCAAATGGACAAAAGATGTATTTTGAAACAAGAGGCGTCAAAGCATACTTTATGGGCGTTGAGGGGGGGTTTTTGGAGTTTACTCTTTGTCCAACGTAAACATAAAAATGTATATTCCTCAAAACAGTTTTAGATGTACTGTCTTTATGAATAAAACAGTGAAATCACACTCTCTTCTTGTCTTGATCACATTTCATATTTTCTTCAAATAAATTGATGTGGCCTACCATCAAATGAATAGGAATTGTTTAAGTTGCTGTATACATGGGAAACTCCACCTAACAGTTCCATGTAGTGAATGGTTATCTCAGATCTTTTAGAATAAAAGTGAATGCTAATGTGACTTTATTCCTTTTCATTTGAGGATCACGCATGCACTACTTCTGCTCTGCATATCATTCTGTTGACGAGCCATAGGACAACTGGCATTTTAATTGTATCTTCTTTCTTTTTTTTATTTTGTTTTTTGTTGGTTCTGGGAAATACATTGCTTGTCTTGCAACAATGTCTTTCTGCAGCGCTCACAGTATGATTTTGAAGAAGAGACGAGGAATGTGCAAAAAAAACATACTGGAGGTGCATCCAGAGCAGCTACAGATGCTCAAAGTTATTCATTTGATAGAAGCGGTGGTATGCGATCATGGAGGGACGTCAGGAGATCATATGGCTACGCGAGCTCTAAAGGATCAGAAGCCACTCAATCAAACAGATACCATCGACAATCTGAGCCACTTATTTGAAGATGACTTTGAGATATCTGATCAAGTTATACAATGTTGTCTAGCAGATTCAGATTGGTTTAGGGACTCTGCAGAAGGGAATTTAATCCAACCACTGTCAAAGAACTAGGTGCTTACTTGCAGGAGTCAATACCAGATGGTTGAAAGCCTTGGTGCAAGTTAGGGTAATGCCAAGACCTAAGGAGATTTTATGCTGAGAGTTTCTAGAACAGTTTGTGAATGGCTATAAGCTTGAACTAAGAAAGTTGATAGTTTGAAGCCTGAAAGGCCTTTTGCTTCGAGGAAGCTGTTTGCTCAAGAAGGAAAAAAAAATGTGAAAAGAAACAAGCTCTTTTCCATAATCTAACAGGGAAATGTCTGGACGTTGTAAATGTACCAGTGATATGTACAGACACATTAAGATCAAATAAATGTAACCAAGGAACTTCAAGGCTTTCCAGTTTTTGACCTCCGGCTGACATTCCGCTAAATCAAGAGAGCAATTTGTTTTTTAATTGGTCATAGGTTCATAGAGTTGATATCAATTATGTTTTTTACTTTCCCCTTCTTTCCAGATTGATTGTATGATTTCATCGCTTGTTTATGCAGAGATGAGGAGCTTTGAAATGTACTATAACAGGAAGCAAAGATGTTTGATTGTACAGTTGTTTCAGCAGCATAAAGTGAATGTTTGAATGAGAACACTTTTGATCTTCTGTTACTTTGCTTCTCTTTTTTAGTTGATTTTGGTGATTCAGTGTAGGACTTTATTTCTATTTCACCATTGAGGTTTAATCATTTTTATTATTCTATTGTATTACATTATTACTGCTCTAGAAATGTTTGTATTTGGTGATGTTACCCAGTGATTACAAATAAATTGCGGTATTTGGTATCAAATAAAGATATAAAAAATCATAAAATAACATTAGTAATAACCCTATCGTGACATTTGAAAATGCATTATTTTATTCTTGTATTCTAAACATAAAATATAAAATATTATCATACTTTTTGGGTAAAATTAGATTTAATAATCTAAAATATTATATAATGACAAAATATGAAAATGATATGAAAAAAATACATAAAAATGACGGTTAAAAATTTAAATAAAAATTATATGTGAGTTTAATAAAATTAAATATATATTTTATATTTTTATATCGATATAAATTATGATATATAATTTTTATGTAAAATATAATATAAATATACAAATTATTAATTTTTACACTATATGAATATGCAAATTATCGTATGTAGGTAAGGTATAACGAACTTGAACAATCTATTACTTGAAGATAATTATGAAAATATTGAAAAAACCTTTTAATATGTTAAAAGGGAAATTTTATCCCCACTAGTAATTAGTGACACTAGTTAACAAGGACGGATGCACGATGAGGGCACTGGGGGTAGTTGTCCCGATATAGATCTTTATCTTTTTAAAAATATATTATAAAAATATTTAAAAAGTTTAATTTCTTTATAATGCCTCGCTGAATATATATATATAATATATGTAAAAGTCAAACTTACATTAATTAGTGATAGGTTTGTGAATAAAAAAAATATTTTAAGATTATTATAGGAAAAAAAAAAAGCAAAATTGATTATAAATAAAAGTAATCGGTTTTCTGTTTTCCTCCATCTTCCCCACTTTTGTAACTTTTAGTTTTTTAGACAAAAACAAGGAGATCCATAGAAGAAGATTAAAGAAATAAAAAGAGAAAAAAGAAAGTCTTTAAACTAAAGAAACAAATTAAAAGTTGGTTATCATTTTTTTTTTCTAACAAGATATTCAAATAAATTACTTTTTTATATATTTTTATAATTAGTCAATCATTTTTTTATGTATTTTTATATATAGTGTTTATTTACCATTTGAAATTTGTTATATTGATGAAATGATTTGATCATGTATTCATGTTATTGATAGCATTTATATTTTTTTATCATGTTTGAATGTTTTATGTTTTATATTTTTCTTTATTTTTTTAGTTATTACTCATTCAACTAATAATTTTAAGTTTGGTAAAAATTAATTTTTATGTGGAGATTATAAAATTAGTTGAAAGTTATATCTGATTTCTTACATAGCAGTCTGGTTATATTATATGAATTACATTTTTACTCATATATTTCAAATATAAGGTCAAAAGATCTTCATTAACATGCATAATTGTATTTTGAATATGTGTTCTTATTTTTTATAAATTACATAAACTAAACTATTTAATTTAATTAGTTATGGAGAAATATCCTATTAAAAGGAAGTCAATTTTTGAAAAATCATCTGGAATCAATACTAGTGACATACAATATTGTACAAAGCAAGTTCGCGTTGAATTAAATTTAAGCTATCTTCCTTCAGATCTTGGGTTACGAAAAAAAAAATTTGACTATAATGTTAATGATAGAGACAAAGTTCGAAAAACTTATTTGCAAAAAAATCCATGTAAACCTTGTGAACATAATTTTCTTCCAAGAAAAATTAAAAAGGCATTACGTCGTTTTATTCTTACATGGTTCAAAGAGTATGCTAATTGGTTGGAATATAATATAGAGAAGGATGTCACTTTTTGTTTGTGTTATCTTTATAAAATAGATATTTGAGAGCAAGCAGGTGGTGATTGTTTTGTTTCAAATGGATTCACAAATTGGAAAAGGAAATAAAGATTTGATATTCATGTTGAAAGTCCTAATAGTGCTCATAACAAAGCTTGGAAGTGTTGTCAAGATTTGCTAAATCAAAAACAATATATTCAATCTGCTTTTGTGAAATAATCCAATCAAGCAAGAAAAAATTATAGAGTTTGCTTAACTGTAACACTTGATTGTATTTGCTTTCTTTTATGTCAAGGTTAGGCATTTCGTGTTAGAGATGAAACTGAGAATTCTCATAATCAAGGAAATTTTCTTAAGCTTCTTAGACTTCTTATCAATTATAATGAAACCATTAATAGTGTTATCTTGGAAAATGCATCGAAAAATTTAAAAATAATAGCACATAATATTCAAAAAGATCTTGTTCGTGCTGCAGCAATTAGGACTACCAATAATATCATGAAAGATCTTGGAGATGGATTATTTTTTATTTACTTGATGAATCTCGTGATATTTCAATCAAAGAACAAGCTGTTAATGCTTTGCGTTATGTGGATTCTAAAGGGCATGTTATAAAACATTTTTTAGGTATAATACATGTCAGTGATACAACTGCTTTGTCACTTAAAGCAACTATTGAAGCATTATTCTTTAAGCATAATTTGAGTACGTCAAGGATTCGTGGGCAAGGTTATGATGGAGCAAGCAACATGTAAGATGAATTCAATGGATTTAAAACTTTGATCATGAAAGATAATGCATCTGCTTATTACGGTCATTGTTTTGCTCATCAACTTCAATTGAAACTTGTAGCCGTGACAAAGAATCATGTTTAAATTGCATTACTTTTCAACATTATGACAAATGTGGTGAATATTGTTAGGGTTTCATGTAAACGAAGAAATGTTCTTTGAGAAAAACAACTTGATAAAGTTGTTGAGGCATTACGAGTCATTGAACTTTCTACGGGGAAAGGGTTTAAACCAAAAAATAAGTTTTCAACAAGTGGGGGATACATGATGGGGTTCATATTATTGGACTTTGATAAATTTGATCTCTATGTTTAATTCCATTATTAATGTGTTTGAAATTGTTGTGGAGGATGGGAATAGCTTGGAGTAAAAAGGTTAAGCTTCTACTTTATTAGATTCAACTCAATCTTTTGACTTTACTTTCACTTGCATTTGATGAAAAATATCTTGAGGATTACAAATGAATTATCCTTCGAATTACAAGGTGAGATCAAGATATTGTGAATGAAATGGCATTAGTAAAAGTAATAAAATAATGACTACAAACAATTAGAGATGATTAATGGGAATCTTTGCATAAAGAGATTTTTTTTATTTTGTGAGAAAAACAATATTGGCATCTCAAATATGGATATGTTTATAACTTGTAGAAGACCTCAACGCAATGCTCTAACAATGACAAATTTACATTATTATCGAATTAAGTTGTTTTATACAATAATTAATATGCAACTTCAAGAGCTCAACAATCGTTTTAATAAGGTGATTATGGAGTTATTTTTTTGTGTGACTTTTTTAAATCCTTGTGATTCTTTTGCGGTTTTTGATAAGGGAAAATTGATACATCTTGCTCAATTTTATCTAGCTGAATTTTCTAATGTTGAACTACTAATTCTTGACAATCAACTTGAAACTTACATTATTGATTTAAGATCTAATGATGAGTTTACAAGTTTGAAAAGTATTAGTGATCTTTCCATGAAACTTGTTAAGACAAAGAAACATTTTATGTATCCATTGGTATGCTTAGTTGTGGAATTAAGTTTAATATTACCAATTTCTATTGCATCAGTTAAAAGAGCTTTTTCTACTATAAAGATTGTGAAGAACCGTTTGCGCAACCAAATGAGAGATTCTTGAATGAATGATTGTTTGGTTACATATATAAAGAAAGATATATTTTGTAATATTGATAATAAAAAAATTTTACAATACTTTCAAAATATGAAAAGTCATAATGAACAATTGTAATATATTATTTTTGTAGACTAAAATAGTTTTTTATGCATCTTAGTTAACTTATATATATTCAATATTATATGTATTTTTGCTCCCACTAAGTATAAATCATGGAGCCATCCTTGCTAGTTAAGGTGTTATTTAAAGAAAAAAAAGTGTAGTTAATACATAATTTTTTAATGTAGTAAAAACAATTCATCAAATGCAAATTTTAAAAAATAATAATAATTAATAATCTTTAATCAATGCATATAAATATATGTTGACCAAACCCGCCTAAAAAAGGATATTCAATTGTTGAAAAAGTAAAAGAATTAAACATTAAAACAAAAAATTGAGAAAATGGGTAGATGTATGTCAGAAATTTAAATATGATGAGGTATTTTGTGATAAAAAAGGTATTGTGATTTTTTTTTATTAGAGGTTATCAACAAATAGTCAAGGACATTTTGGACATTGGAGTCGATTTGATATGTTAAGTTAGCCTAACTTATTTAGTGCCACATCAACTCAATTACATCACTGTTGTTCCCTCAATTCCATTGCTTTTTATTTAGAATTTTATACACATCAAAGTACTATCATGCTAAGTTTCATTTGTTCTAATTCTTTATTTTTCTCTCCTTTGACCTCTCATATTTTTATTTTTTACTTGCACATCAAATTCAAATATAAAGAACACTCAATGCTTTTACATTTAGTTGCTCTCTTCCTTTTCTTGTTTTTCTAGAAAAATCCTCGGAGCTCGATAGAAATAAAATATGTGTAACTCTTTTTTTTTTTAAAATATATAACTCTTTTGAGTTTTTTCTTATGATAGGATACATTAAAATCTTAATTTCTATAATGGGTACTTTTAATCTTTTTTCATAATAAGGTATTTTATGCCATTTAACTTCATGTCATTGTTTAAGTGGTTAAATTGCCAACATGGCAATTAATACCATTTTATCTTTTTTTTTTATTTCTTTTACTTCTCTATTATGCTTTCTTCTCATTTGCCTAAACAAGAATATAAAAAGAAGCTAGTATAATAATGCTAGAATCTAGACGCGACCAAAGTTAAACGAAAACTATTAATCCAATTCTTCACAAAATTCATCCAAATTTAAGATAATATTTTGCAAAATCAAATTTCATTAAAATTTAAGTTTTTACACAGACTCTAGTCATGTAGAACTTTACCAATGTTATATCCAGCAAAGCCACCATTGCTTTAAAAAATTACCAACAAGAAATTAAATATCAATATGTTATGAGAGAATTCATGTAAACTTGTTACAAATGTATTTCTTTTTGGTGATTGGCATTAGCCCTTTGTACAATCAAATGAACTTATTGAAATCCAATATGCTATTTGCTATTTGTAAGGTAAATCTTTGACTTTTATCATTCTTAGACTTGCTTGAACAGCCGACATTTATTTTATTTGAAAAAAAGAAACTAACACAAAGTTTGGACATCCTTATCAAGATACAGCTACTATAGTTGGTTCTATCAAAGAGACAATCCAATTGAAAATTGATAACCCACTCCAAGCTTGTCTTACTCCAAAAGATCAAATATATGTTATTCTTGGGGTCTTATAAATTAACTAAATATTTTTTTTTATAATTTTAACTCCATGATAAATCACTCACAGCTCTGCTTAATCAATAGAATAATCGTCAATAACATAAAAAAACCTATCACCATTTTTTCCTTCTCCTCTGATAACTCTTCCAACTCATGTCCTATTGTTTTATTGGTCCTAATTGCCATCAACATTTTGTTTATATCACTTCTTTTCTGGTTTCCTCCAATTCAAAAGAATCTCCATTTTTTTCCCTTCCATAATGTTTGTTAAGATTTGAATTATCGCATTCTCTCATCATTTTCTCCACTCTTTCCCATTTGACATTGTCTGGAGTTTTTTCTTTTGACATTACAAATTTATTTCTCTATTTACTAAATGTATTTGTTTTCTTAAAATATATATATATATATATTTGTTGTAAAATTATTGTAATATCTCAACTGATGACAAATTTTGTTTCTTTGAAGTAGACAGATCAATCTAAACTAAAACGATGCTTGGGCATTCGAGACTATAAGGCTCAGTCACCCAGAATGCTACAAAAGCATAGGAAATGCTTTAAAAAAGGCTAACAAGAACAATAAAAGGTTAAGGTTACAGTAAGGTTTGATTACTCAATGATTCTAATGTGTACAATGAAAGGGGGGACTTTCTATTTATAGCTGAGTCTCCCTTACAATTAGTGTTGAGATTACATTCCTGAACTTTAAATATTACACTGATTTAAATCCTTTGATATTTGAAGATAAGATATAATCTTTGATTTTAGGAAATTTGATACTACAACACAATTTTTGACCTCCTGAAATTATGCTAAGCACTAAACCTTCTAAAAGCCCCCACTTTGATTAATAAAAGTGATGGGCAGAGGGGAAAAATCATAAAAAATAAAAATAAAAAAATTAATTCAACTCTCACATAGATAATTCACCTTAAACTTAGCAATTCATGTTTCTATGTCATGTCTTGTGTCGTATTTAACACGTATAATGACATAAATTATTAAAATATGAATACAAAATGAATTATAAAACGTGTTTAAATCTTAAACATGAACACAACACATGTAATATATATGTTACATGCGACACGATACGATTAATACGTATATAATAAATTTATTTAAATGCGACACAAATAAATATAAATAATACGAATATATACGAATAAATACAATTAATATGAATATATACTAAGAGAAATGACTAATACAAATATATATACGTAAGAACATGACCAAAATAATAAATAACTATAAACTATCCATTATTTACAACTTAATAAATTTAGTATATTAATAATATAAAAAAGTACTTACATATTAAAAAAATTTTAATACTCATTTAATATGTTTTAATATATATTTAAATTTTAATTTATATTACATAACCATAATAATTTTTAATATCAAATTCAAAATGATAAACTATTAAAGATTAAAAAATAAAATAATATATAAGACTAATATTAATATTTATTTTGTATTTATATTATTAATATAAAAATTAATTTTGTAATAATTATTAAATGAGTATTATAATTAAATGTTCAAAATAATTTTTATATGAAATTAAATAGTTAATTAAGTATCATAATTAAAAAAGTAAAAACTAAAATAATCTTTATATATTTATATTAAATTAAAATAAATATAAAAAATATATTAAACGTGTTAAATATATTAAACATGTACTCCTATGATAAGATTAAATTAAATGTATTATTCATATCGTGTCACGAATTTAGATAAATCAACATATATACGACACGAATTGTGTCATATCAAAATTCGTATCATTACAAATAAACACGAAATATATTTTTTAGAAAAACATATATATAATTTTTTTCGTATTATTTTTATATCGTATCACTATATCTTATTTGAAACTGTCAAATCTAATCTAGCCATGTAAATTATGGATATTTAATAGACGTGACTTTTAGTACTTTATTTATTAAAAGTACCTTTGTTTAGAAATAATGATTTTATGGTGCCCTTGTGTAGGAAAAAACTTCAACTCTTTTTATCTTAAGGTAGGACCTCTTGTACCGAAATAATAATAATAATAATAGTTTGCCATGTAGAAAATAAATTTGGAATGATATTAGCACTTTTTTGTGCTTGTAATGAAGGGGGGTTAAATTGGTTTATAAGTAAATTTTGTATATAATCACCGCCCACAAAAAAAAAAACTGATGCTAAGCAGTCATTTTTGCTGCAGCATGAACAAGGATTGCATTTTAAGTTGTTTTCTTGTACATATTGATGCATTCCATAGAGAACAAGGCACTAAAAAACACTAACACAAAAATCATTCCCTGCAAACTCTAGCCACTTCTATTTCTCCCCAACCTTGAAAATCAAAATGATAACAAAGAAACAGGAAGGCCAAAAAAAAGAGCTTTTGAAAATTCAACTATATATTAATTGAATGGCCAGTTATGTAAAATGGTTCAAATGATAATAATTTCGTTACAAGAAATTACTTGGAAGAGTGTAAATTAAATGGCTCCAAAAGAATCTCACTTGTTCTCCCTTCAAAAATGAGTGCAACCAAGCTGTAGTCCCCAGAATTGCAATGCTCTCAAGTTATATACAACTTCCAACATCTGACATGATAAATAAAGCTCAGCAAATGAGCTCAGTCACAACTCACAACACAGGGATCAACAATCATTGATACCGAAAATGCTGACCACTTGTAGGAACAATACTTTTTAGCATTTTGGGGAAGCTGGAACAGAAAAATGGCCTACAATGCATCTTTGTTGTGCGCATTCTCAAACATATATTCCAAATCCAATCTCTTTTGGATCTGTTTCCACCATCCAGGGTGGCCTATTCACCAAAAATACAGTTAGAAAAAGGAGGGAGAGAGAGGTAGAGATTTAACCTCAGGGACATACTTATTCATCACAAAGTTAATTGTTCCTTGTGCAGCACGCTTGAGCAGAACTTCTCTAGCCTCAATTGCAATACCTTCAGGCTATATAAAGATCTCCAAGTAAGATTTATAACGTTCAAATATAAACTCTCTAATATTATTTAGCTATTTTATGAACCTCTTCTGGAAACCAAACGCCAGACTGTGTGCTTCCCTCAAGAATTGCTAGTGCAAAAGCAGCTGTGGCAGTTCCCACCAACCTGAAATAAATGGAATTCTATACACATTATATTGAATTCAAAGCATCCAATAGAACTTTTCTGAGAATGTATTAATGTCTTCTATGTGGATATTACACATTAAAGGGATTTTAAGGGCAGAGGCTTTATTGAACATGAAACTTATTTCTATAAGCTTTAGACATACACAGAGAGTCTCCTGTGGCTAAACAAAGCCAGTGTACTGCGCCCATTTGTGCATTCCAAATCAACCTAGAAAAAAGAAGAGAAAATTTCACATTGACATATATGATCAAGTAACACAAAACAACTATTGGACTCTAGCCATTACAGTTTGCTCAGTTGGTTTAGTATCATACCCTCATTGACACACGCTCACCAGCAATCCCGTCAACTGCCCTTACTAGTGGATTAAACAATTGAACCAACTGTTGGACTTTGTTTCTGTCTCTTAGAAATTCCTGCAACATTTACTTTATAATGGGATGGACTTGTTTAAAGTAGCTAACCTAAAAGCATAGTTACTAAATTCAGACTTTGTTTGAGCAAATCATCATGCAAGTAATTTCCTAGTATTGACATATTCCATTTAGGTGCAATAGAGAGTATTATGGCACAGTAAAAAAATTGCAATTAAAATCTGGAAAGTGACATATCGCTGCAGCATTTTAACATCACATAGGAACCAATAATTGATCAATTATCACTAGGGAACATCAGCTATGTTGTTATCACTTTCTTTTAGAATTTGAGGTAGGATTGGGAGCTGGGACCTCATAGTTGTTATTGCTAATTTTCATTAATTTGTACATCTTGCCTCTCCCTCTGCCAGAAAAGGAAGGTTCATTTTCAAAGGAAAGTATTGGCCATGTGAATAATATTAACTCTACATCATATAAGAGCATACCACAGGAAGAAGATTTGTCATAGCTTCCATTCCCCAATTCCAGAAGAATGGTGCAGTTCCAAATCGAGCACTGACAGTTGGTACTTGTAGGACCTCATGAGCACTTTGTACCTCAGGTAAATTCCTGAAATAAGAATTCATTGAGTATTAACTTTATTGCAGGTAAGGCAGCTAGATAGGAACTGAACCAATCCATTAAACAACATTCAATGTGAGCTAAGCAATTAATAGTTAGTATTGAGAACCCAACTAAAATGGTATACTCAAAACTAGATCCAAATTGCCAAGAAAATTTTATTTGAAACTCAACATATCACATTGGTGCAATTTTCTTGACAGGTTTTTGTACTTCAGGGACATATTCATAGAATACAACATTGTGTAGTTATATGAAATTACTCTCAACTTATTCTGGTAAATATAATGCAAAGCTTTTCATGTGGGTCAATTATGGGATTTTATTTGTGTGCTCCTGATTGATGTTTACGTCTTTCTACAAGTTTATTTGGTGAATGAAACATATAACAAAATGAGATGATAATGAAGTTGAACTTTGCTTTCCCCATACTTGCTGTGAATTGGGTGTCATTGAAGGAATAAAAGAAAGTTAAACACAACAGCAGGAAACAAAGAAAAAGTGGAGATGATAACTGAAATGAATGTAAGCTTGAAAATCTTGCAAACCTTATAACAAATATTAGTAGATTGTCTTGCCGGTGAGTGGTGATTCATGGGAAGAATCCTTTCAACACTAGCAACTTCTTATATTCTACTAAATAAAAATGGCAATTGCAAAAATGACTATAAAGATTTAAGTCCAATCACTCGAAACGCAAAACAGGATATCCTCTAATTGCCATACAACCTTTCGGAATAATAGATAAGGAATCTATGCTGTTGCTTCTATGAAGTTTAATATAAAAGAAATGATTGAATTGAAATAAGAGGTAAATTTTTTGTGAAAAAAATTTTCTCATTAAATCTATGTATAAGTTGCAAAGAAGGCATTTTTAGCATTCTTTGGATTTAAATAGGCATGAATTTGAGTCTAAATATTTTCCAAGAAGAATTGAGAGTAAAAGACTTGGGATTCAATCTCCTACTGAAATAGCATTTTGGGATGTTATTAGAGTGGCAATGAATAATTCCACAAATCAATGACTCAGATTTGTGAAAGAAAGTTTTACGGGAGTAAGAAAAGTTTCTCAAAAGAACTCACAACAAATAAACATCTCTCTTTCCAATTCCTTTTCCAAAGTCCACATTGAGCATTCCGGTAAAGGGCTTCAATTTGATTTTTTGTCCTGATCAAATAATACTTAAATCATGTTAAGCATCCTAATGGAAAGGTGAGCACTTTAAACTAAGAAAAACGATATTAATGTTTGATTTTCTCAATAGTCACCTTTATTATATGCAACAACTTCCTCCCCAAGAAGTAAGAAACTAGTGGCTAATATAGTTGGACCAGCACCACCACTGCCTGCTGTGTAATAGAAGAATCTGAGAATGCACATTCATACATGAATCACATATAGTTATTAGCTATTTAGTAAAGTGGCTGATAAAACAAGAAAAAGATTACAATTCTTCGAAGGTGGTATATATATTCTTTTATTGTTAACAGAAGGCCATCATAACATCATAGTAAGAGTCTGATATGTGATTTGCATCATAAAATCTCTGAACTAATCAGCTCCCTTCATTAAAACTTAGATGATTCAAATATTCTAGTGGTACATATTGCTAAGAAACACTATTTGTACAATGTTGCTGCCTTACCTTCAGTTCTATTCTTTCATGTTAAATGGATTTCAGATTGTAAATATAAATACAGGAAAAAGAACTTTCAGAACAATAAATAATTCTGGGATTTTACTTGAATAAAATGGAAACGGATTTTCCAGATGAATTACTCTTGGAATACATATAAGCATTAGCAAGGCATAATTACCTTAGCCTCTCTGGCTCTCCCTTGCTTTCACTTCGTGCAGCACGAACTAGCTCTGCTGCCATCACTGGAATATAAAAAAACAGCATTATTTTATGGCATCAGGTCAGAAGTGCAGTAACCAATTTGTGATAAGGCTTCTGCTGGTCACATATTAATCTAGCACTATTCGTTAAACAGTTCTGAATTCAAAGATTAAGCATAGGTCATAGGTAATTTTGTTTCCGAAATCACAGCTGGTTGGAAGCTGAAACAAGCCAGGGTTTTGATTGGGTTGCATTGTCACAGAAACCTCTCAACAATCACTAAGAAATCAAACCTAAATTTCAGAAACTTGCACAAATTATGCCAGATAGGTGGAACAAGGCTTCAGCAGGGAGTTAAATTATAAGATAAAAATTGTCTTGAGTTACCAATGCTCTGTAGTTATCATGTGAGATCTTCTTTGTAATTCGATCCTTTCTAGAGCCAAAATATTATGCATGTAATTCAAACCAATCATATTAAACACAAAGCTTCAATGTTAAGAGCATGCAAATGGCATAGTCACTAGAGACTTCCAAGACTAACCATTTTGAGTTTTAGATGCAATATCCTGCTTAGTAGCAGGATGCAAGAAATCCAGGACCTTTATCAAACCAATGTTTGCATGTAGACTATAAGACTAACAGCTTTGAGGCCAGACGCCAAACCTCAAATGTTTTAATCTAACGATACAATTCATTTAGATTTTTACATGGCTCATGCTAAAAGTCTTTGATCCTTTTTCTATACTATCACTCATCTTCATTGTACCAACTAGGTTTGTGTACTTAAACTGTGGAACATATAACAGGAATGTTACCATTGCTCACTCCAGGATAGATTCCACCAGTAGTTATGGCTGGAATATTTGCAGCTACTGCTCTATCCTTGAATGATTTTGCACGAAATGCATAGCTTGTATCATCGCAAACATCAAGATATGCAGTCTGTTAAGAGAGACAATAACAGTATCTACTTAGTTAGCACATCAGTCATGTACTAAAACTATACACAAGGCCATTATATCACATTAAAAAACACAGATTGCTGAAAATAAAGAAATAAATTCATACATAATGATTACCTTTGCCTCACCTTGGTCTCTATGGCAGCTTCCAGTACAGTGCACTTCAGTGCCTGTTGAAAAGGTCCTGCAGCATGAACTACAAGATCGACATCTGCAGAGGAACCAGTACAGCTAATGAATCAGAATCAAATGAAGGCATGAATGATATCATCTCATTATGTTTTGAATTTAGTAAAACTAACATCAACTAGTTCAATTTCATGGGAATGAATTATAAGTACTATCAGGTGTTCTTTCCAAGGGTGTGAAGTAATCATGGGTTTATTGAAATAGATAAATCATGTGTATTTTTTTAATATTTGAACTAGAAGTTCTTTTCTAGGGAAAGAAAACAAAATTAAGGAACTCCTGCTGAAGAGGTTTGATATGGTCCCATAAACTTTAGGTTCTATTTGGACTCAAGAAAAGCATGGGGAAACAGGTAGAAAATGCTTCAAAGTTTTTTAATAAAAAGCTCCATCCTCTTGTCCTTTCCCCAATATTTTAAAGCCATTGGAAGTTAATATTGTAGAACTAGATATTTGACAGTTGACTTGAATTGGTGGAATTTGAACTTTGGATCTTCTTTGTTGAAGAAGAGGTAAGGGGAACCAATTACACTATCCGACAGCCACAACTAGGATCATTTTCCAATAGGGATTACATGCATAATACTTTTAGAGATGGAAATCTTAAACAAAATACAATGTAAGATCTAAACGAACATGAAGATGTGAATCCCGAACACAGCCAATAAAAACAGAAAAGAATGAGAGTATCCTAACATCCATTTTCAGGTAAATTTCAATTTGTACACTGATGTAATATCCATGGATGAGGACATAGATACAAAAGAAAAAAATATGAACAATGTCATAAGATACTTCACCACTTAAAGCTGCTTCCAATGAATCTCTGTTGTCAATGTTAACTTCTGCAAACTCAGAATTCTTTCCGAGTGTATCCACCATGGCAGCACCTTTTTCCCTATTGCGTAATTCCAACAATCAACATCTTAACCAGGAAAAAGTGAGGAATTGCAGAAGACAGGACAAATGCCAAAGAACTATAGGTTTTGTGCTCCTTTTTTTTTATTGAAAAGGAGAAATGTGCCAGAAAGTAGTTAAGTTATCCAATTTGAATTGGCTGCCTGTTAAACATATTTGCTTGGAATACCTAGATGAATCTTAATAGCCAGGTTCTGTCCAATTTCATGTAATTATCAATAAGGTTAAAGGAAATTTTAGATGACACAACAAGAAAAGTACGTAGTAAAAAAGTAACAATCAAGCAAAAGTTAATTCAATGCAACCCTTTATTCCATGGAGTCTCTAATTTCTTATAAGATTGATCATCCAATTTAGAATGTAAAAGAACAAAGCAAAATAACTTTTCTTTCTGAATTTCCTTTTATCAGCAAATAAGCAGCTTCTTTTGTTTATCCTCCAAAGTCCCAACCCCCACTTTCCTTTCCTTTATAGAACAGTGTGTTACCTCATTTCTCTCAAATCATCAACCAAACACGCAAATTCTTTGCCTTCAATTCAACATATATTAAACAAACCAAAATCTCAGAATTCACGATTCAAGTAGATACCAAAAGACACCAAAGAAAAAGGAAAGAAACCCTTCATTCATTCTTCTTTTTTTTTTTTTTTTTGTAATTCCTTCCATTTCCTCATCAACCAAACAATTAGAAAAGTGGGTTTTCGGTCTCTAACCTGTTCCTACCCCCGAGGACAATTCTAAGGTCAGGACAAAGCTTGGAAAGAGCGGTGGCAGTAGATCCTCCAACACGACCAGTTCCACCAAGGACAAGGACCCGAGAGTTCCTTGTCTTCTCCGGGAGTAGAACTCTACTTACATTGTCATGTTCAGCAGCTTTAACAGACGCCACTGCAACAGCTGCAGTCTTCAAATGAAGCAAAGATGGCGCCATAACTGAGTTCTTAAAGTGCAGAGAAAATGTAAAATGAATGGTTGAATATAAACGTTGTTGTCCAAATTTCCCTTATCTAATTATATCCAGTTTTATCAGTTTATCGTTATTGATGACGTGGATGGATCTTTGCTACCTTGACGTGGCTTGTAACTTACCACCCATTCACATCCGAATTTTATATATATAAAATATATGTTATTCGCTATGACATAAAATCGATTGGCTCTTTTATTTTTCAAAAAAAAAATACATGAAAAAATAATAATAAATAGTGAGATTTAAAATTTTAATTTATTAAATATTATTATTAAAAATAATTATATAAATTAATTAATTTAATTTCCATATAAAGTAAACAAGTTTGAATGGTTAAGCTAAACATACACTAAAAACGTGCTATATAACGTCCGTAGAAAAAAAAAAGTTTGTTACATGTTGCAATAGAATCATACTTAACATGCCTTTGATATTTCCCCATTTAGTTAACTTCTTTTGCTCCAAAAAAAAATTTTTTTTTGACACTTAACATATATAAAAATTTTTTATTTGTTTTATTGATAGCTTAGTTCTAATTAATGTTAATGAAAATTTACTTAAATAAAAAAACTTTTATTATTGAGATAAAAAAATTAATAGATTAAACAAATATTTTAATTTATCTTTTCATAAAGATTGATTCTTATATCAATATCATCAAATTTTATGACATTGATTAATTCTATCAAATGTACTTAAAATTTGCAAACAAAACTTATAATAACTTGTTGGAGAAGTCATTTTCAACCGTATACAAAAGGAAATTTTTTCTTTTGTTTATCTCTAAGTGCATTCGTACCCTTACTAAATTCTCCTCAAAAGAGGGAGGATTGACTTGATCGTTTGGGAAGATTAGCTTAGACTATCGTTGGCCTTGACTTGACTACTTTTAATATTTTTATTCTTATTTTTACAAAAATATTTGTATTTATACTTAATTGATAAAAAAATGCACAATATTTTTTTTAAAACGTCTCAAAGAAAAACGTTGTGTAAAAGTTACTGCCCAGGCCCCTCGCCAAATACTAAAAATAAATTTTTTGTTTTTTATAAATCAAAGGATTAATATCTTTTAATAATTTTAGTAAAATATTTAATATTATATTTAAATTTTAAAAATTTTAAATTTAAATTATAAACTTATAAATTAATATGATATTTAATTTTAACATAACTAACTTTATATGATGAAATAACATGGATAAATAATTTTTAAATATCATATTAATTAGTAAATTTATAATTTAAATATTATATTAAAATTTTCTTAAATTCAAATATTTTATTAAACATTTAAAGATTATTAATAACATTACACTTAAACCTAAACTAATGTAATTGTTTATATTCTCCTACTCATTTTATTTTTGTTTTATTCCCCAAAAAAATTAACTTTTGAAAAAAAAGTTAATATAAAATTCAATCTTTGAATTATAATTTTTACAATTTAATATTTATAAAATATTTATAATTTGATATCTTAATTTTGTTTCTCTAAGTATTTTATATGGTTAATCAATTATGTTAATCAAAATGCTAGTATGAAAAATATTGATCACATATAATGATTTTATTTATTATTTTCTTAAATTGAAATTAATGTCCAAAGCAAATGGTGAAAGAATAAAAATTAAGATATCAAAAGGTCATTTAAAAAAAAATAATGTCACAAATAATTTTGAATTATAATGAAATATACAAAACAATATTTAAATTTTAAAAATTTTTAAAATAATATTTGAATTATAAATATTTTGATTATAATTATACAATACAGGAAAGGTTTCTTTAATGGGCTTTTGATTAATGTCCCAAAGTTGTTTCTTTATTTCTCTATTTACTGAAGATGGTGTTTCATTTCTTGATTTTTAGTACTTTTTCTATATTCCAACTGTATATTGCTGAAATTCTTTAATTTCTGTGTTCGAGAAGCAAGGTTTTTAGGTGGGGGTTTTTGTGCAAGATTAAGATGAGTCAAAGCTTTCATTTTTGAATAATTAATGTGAAGTGGAATTTTAGACTCGCATCAGCTTATATTAATCTATCAATGATAGACTTGATATGTGATAATATTTGTTGCATTGCACTTTAAGCCTGCATCTTAACTATTCAAACTGTCATGGTTTATTTAGTTTGATGTTGTGTGTGTTTGTTTTGCAGTGTATACTTTTCGTTGATGAACCATTATTTAAGACTATGAAGCAGAGCTGATCTTGCAGCTGCTTTATGAATTATGTTTATTATATTACAAGGTATGTATGTTAGGAGTATGCAATAGTAACTATGTTGCATTCGGGTTTGCTTGTGTATACCTGATATATTGCTCTGGAAGCTCCTTTCAATCATTTTATACACAATATGGATATCAAAATAGCACATTGGTGATAGTGGATAGGAAAAATGGTGGAAGGTATAGATGTTAGGAGTATGCAACAGTCACTATTTGAGATTTGGGGTATTCTTGTTTATACCTGATATATTACTCCTTTAAATCAACTTATATGCACAATAAAGCTATCAAAAAAGCCCATCGGTGATAGTGGAATAAGAAAATCCATTTGATAGCATACTTTGGAATGTCCTGTTAGTGTTGCAATTAAAAGTAAGTACCATTTTTTGTGTCTTGCTGCGTATAAAGTATAAACCCCAATTCTTTCTCCACCTGTTGTAACATATTAATTGCTTGCTCATCAAGAAACTGGGCTTTAATCAAAGATGAAAAGTTGGATTTCACATGTAGTCCAGAAGAGAAAATGAAAAGAAAAGTTGGGTGGTGCTGCTCACCAAGCTGATTGGGAAGATAACTTTGACATTCTATTTGCTTGATAGGAAGCATCTTCTAAAACCTAGTCTATGGAGTTTATTCATTCTCTTGAGAGTAAAGAAGTTTGTCAAGAAGTGAGCTTATCTAATAGAAAAGTTTTATTATTTTGGCCCTCTTTTCTTACAGTGGGAAGAGAACTATTTATAGACACAAATTCATAATTTAATTTCATTTAAAAGGGATGGATATATAAGGAAAAGAAAAAAGATTACGAAGATTTATTTGATTCTTTTTGCTTATTCTCTTGTTTTTCAATTTTGGCATCATTATTTTTTTTTTTTTTGGATATTGTGTTCTTGGGTCTCTATTTTTACATCCTCTTTAAAATTTTGGATCTTGATTGTTCTTCTTGGGCTATCTTTTGCTTATTTGGTTTGCATTCTTTGAAATTGAGGTTGTTTAGTGGAAAATAGAAAATGAACTTCCTTTGAGAAAATGGATTTTGTTTTACTTCATTGATCTTTGATAGAAACTTACTTTGATTCAAATATGCTATTTCTGGGTTTTATGTGGCAACTAATGTAACCCTCCTCTTCCCCACCCCGCAATGGAAAGAGTTTTCTTGTCATTTATAGCAGCTGAGAGGAAGTTTTGAAGTGTAGATTGTTTATTCCTATTTTTAAGTTAAGGAAGTTTCTAATGCTCTCCTATGCTATTCTTTTGTGCATTTCCATTAAGCTTTTGGTTATTTTATTTTCTTGCAGTTCTTTGAAGAGCTAGTCAATGGTAAAGGATTTCGGAGAGGAACATATAAGGTTAACGAATAAGCCTCTAAATAAAAAGATTACTTTCTCATATAGTGATGATGAGGACGATGATGATGAAATGGTTGATGATGAGGGAGAGGGGGAAGGGCAAGGGGAAGGGGAAGTGATTAAATCAGATACTAGTAAAGAAAATGAAGCTAGTCAAGAAAGTTTAACAAATAAAGATTTGGATCATCATAATTCAGATGATGTGTGCCATGGAAAGGTAACAGAAGAGACTAGAAATAGTAAAAAGGCTGGGGCAAACATTGAAAATCAAGCAGATAATTTAGAGGAGCCACCAGCAAAGAAACGATGCCTTGAAACAGATTCATCAAAGAGTGCAACCTATGAAAAAGAGAATATTGAGGCTGAGCTCAAAGGGCTTGGAGATAAGAGTGAGGTCAGTAAGCTACAGCTGCAAAAGTTTGTAATAATTGATTATGCAGATTAATTGGATGTCAGAAATAGGAAAAATATATTCAGAAAAGACATTTTATTAGGGTGCTAACATACCTTTTTGACCATAAGTTACGTTGGCATTTTGCATGAAATTGAAACAATGAAGCAATTATATGCTTATTGGAAAAGAAAATGAAATAAGCTAAAAGAATGCTGATACAATATTTTCTTGTGAGATTTATTTGAATTTAACATAGTCATAAGTTTTCCAAAAAAAATATATAGTATCAAAATGCAAAATACTTGATTGGAAATTTCACATATTTCTTTGAGAGCAAGATGGAAGTTGCCGAAATGTTGCTGTTCCTTCCGTGTTGCATTGAGCTTCGTCAATAAAAACTAAGACATACTAATTTAGTCTATCAACCTTGGATACGGTTTATCTGAATTTTTAGTTGTCGACAAATGAGTTATTCATATTTTGTTCATCACTCTTTCTTTTCAGATTCAATTCTCATTCATAATGTTGAATTGCTCAAGCTTTCTTTGTGGCAATTCATTCTTGTTATCTCTAGTAAACAAATGGGGCGATGCATGCCATTATTGTAATTTCTTTTCCATTTTTTTTTACTTGATTCTTTTTTTCTTTGCATCCTGTTCAAACAGAGGTAGTTCCTCAACCTTGATCCTGGTTGTAATGGTGTTATCTTTGTTCAAATGAGGAAGAGAGATGGAGATCCTGGCCCCAAAGATATTGTGCAGCATATGATGACATCTGCTGCATCAACAAGGAAGCACATGTCAAGGTTCATTATTGACTTGCATGTTATGTTAAATATACAAAGCACATGCCCATAGAAAACGGCGTGTTGGTAGTAGCAAGCTAAAATCTTACTGTTCCCGTTATTTAGGTTTATTTTAAGAGTCTTACTAGTTGAAGTGGCATGCTATGCTTCAGAAGAGGAAATTACAAGAGCAATGACACCTCTCATTGTGCAGTATTTTCCGGTAGAGACACAGAACCCTAGGAAGGTACGAAATAGATGACTCTCATCATTTTCTCGTTCTTTTTATTTTGATTTTCAAAGTTATAAAATATTTTATTTAGTGCTTCTAAGTGCTGGTTTTCCATAAAAATACAAGGACATTTATTCAGATTAAGTTAGTTTGGATTGCATAGGCTGGGAAAAGGTGCATTGAATTTGAACTTGCTTTCTGTAACGCATTATTATATTTTAAAAGTTCTTTAAGCATTTCTATTGTTTGTCTTTGGTTGATGCCATTCTGATTTCTGACTGACTTGAATCAAACTTAGATTTGAGGCAATCCAAGTGCATGACTTATACTTGACCAACACCATATAAAGCCACAACTTCTAGATTCAGCTCAAGGTGGGAGTGAGAGATGGGACTTATTTTTTCTTTTTTGAGGGAAGTAACGATTTGAACCTGTCAAACCTTTTGAATATATCTTGGCAAATCAGGCTGAAGGTGTCATATAGCTGTCAAATAAGTTTTCACTACTGTGGATTTGACAGGAAATCAAAATCTTCTTAGAAATTCTAAGATTGACAACCATTGCTTTAAGTGCTCCAGAAGTGTGTGATCCATTTTAATGTTGATGGACTTCATGCTTTGTACCATTTGATTTTTAGAAGATCTTTATAAGATAGGCCTAACGTTATCCATAAGAAAAGCAGTCAATTTATTCATGACATGCCATTCAACTCACAGTTCACTTCTTTGTATAAAACTAAACTGTCTAAAATATTTGAAATGCCTTCATTTAGTATTCCAAACAGCTAGTTTGACCTGATCTTTTGATGATTTGTTCGCTGTGTATATGTGTTAATTTCATTTTTGGGTAGTGAACTAATGTTTATATTAGATTTGGCCCCACCCCCGTCAAAAAAAATCCCTTTTACATCTTTTTTCCTCTATATATTATGAAAAACATTTATAGTATGGAAGAAGGATATATATCTTAATGGTATCATATAAGGACAGCTTTGTTGTGTCAATGACCCTACATGAATAACTCTTACATCGTTTTGGTTTAATCAAATTGAAATGTATCATATATGTGCTGGGATTGTAACTTTTATTTCTGTGCAGTTTGCTTTACCGTATGAGACCCATGCGAATTCTGTTATTGACAGGATGAAAATTATAAATTCCATTTCCAAGTCTTTACCTGCACCACAAAAAGTTGATCTTAGCAAATCCTGATATGAAATGGTTGAAATTGCGAAGTTGAGGACATTATCTTTTACTTCTAGAATAGAATCCGAATATTTGTGCAAATTTACTGTTATAAGATTGCATAAAACCTCTAGCGGAAAACTCTGTCCCGTCCTCCATTTCAAAATTGCTTAAAAGTTACTGACCATAAGGATATGCTTAAAGATTGATCATTTTGTGTCGTTTGACAACTGAAGTGAAATATATATATAAACTAGCCATGACAATGACAGTTAAAATCAAGGCCAAAACAATGGTATTTTCTTTAGAAATATTTCATTTTAAAAATTTAAATTGGAGACTTTTTCAAAGAGGCAAAGCATTTTAAATGCTTGAATATGACGGACTTCTTTCCACTTGCTAGAGAGTATAAATTTCACTATAATAGGGGTTAAACTTGATTATTTCTTATGTTTAAGCAATTCTTGCTTGTGTTTTGTGCTTCTAGATGTTTTATTTGTTATGTTTTGAATGTAAATCCACATCTCTAACTCATCAGTTCTTTAACGGACTACTCACCAACACAACTCAAGTGAGATTTAGTAGTTGAAAGGGAGAAAAGCATGGGGCTATGAGAAATGGAGCAGTGAATCTCACTTGTTGTCTTTGTTTATTGTTATTATGTGCTGAGTCCCCCTTGTTCTTTAAATGCAAATCCACCATACAGGAAAAATACATTTTCTTTTGTTTTTTTGTGTCTAGATATGCCTTCTCATAGGTAACAGTTTCTTTATATGCCTTCTCATAGTTAATAGTTCTTTCTTTTCTGAACTGAATTTTCAGACCGTCTGCTTGATTGGGGTCGTTGAGAAGTACAAGGAGTTGGCGAAATATAACCTGAGGCAACTCACATCACCAAAGCAATGATGCTGGTTGCGTTGGTGGAGATGCTGCAGCACTTGAGGCCTGTTCGCAGGCTTTCTGCTTTGTTAAAATATATTGAAGATTTGGACTGATAGGGTGAAATTGAGAGAGTCAGGAAACTAGGCTTAATAGAGTTTTGGAACACATTTTCTTCTCCATTTTTAGACGTTTATTTGGGTAGTACATGTTAACTGCTCAACTTAAATTTACTTTCCCACCTTTGGCAACTTGAATCAACAATTCAAAGTGTTCCGATAAACCAAATATTCCTTCCGTTTTATTGAAAAAGATTCACCGAAACGGGCAAGATTGTCATTCGATGATGATCAAGTTGCCCTTTGTCTCAAATTTAAATTTTGGATATCATGAATAATGATGTTAAACACTTCAAGAATTTTGAGAGTTCAGGAATTGATTGCATATTTTCTGGAGAAATTGGTCGCAATTTGTTGTTGCACATCATTGTATGGAATAAGTGGCCTGCAAAGTGTGTAAAAAGTGCACATTCTGTGCTCAAGAAAAGAATTTTGAGAGAGAGATAGAGGAGCTTTATTTCAATCAAGTGAAACCATTCATTAATTAGGAAAAAGAATGAAGCACACACTGTAGAAAAAGAAAAAAAAAAAAAAGACAATTTTCATGTTCTCATTTCTCCAAAGGAGTTCTCAAATTATTCATTAACAGGAGTTCTAACTCCTGTTACCCTTTGATTTCTCAAATTATGCATTAGGAGGCTTGTACAACTTCTCAACCATCTTCCTGTATTCTGCAAAAGACAAAAAAAATAAAAATTCAGACAATTTTCAACACAAAGAAAGATCTGCTGCTAAATATCAAGTGAAGCTATTCAAACTAGAAGATACCTTCTTGATTGCTCCAAAGTTGTGCTGCTTGGGTGTTTAAAGGTGAGCTAATGTTTGGTTCTGCATATCAGAGTACCATAGAATAAATGGGGCTTCTCGTTGTAGCTTGTGTTTTAAAAATGGGAAAAGAGAGAAAGAAAAATACCTCCAAGCAGACTCTGGATAGATATCAGTATGGTTCTTACATCATAAGCAGATGACCATTTATCCTACACAACAAATAATGCATCAAAGTAGGATTATAAATCATGTCCAATGACAGACAACTTGAGATCCTTTTTTCACAAAATTTTGGACAGTAGAAGAAAGATTTGTACCTGAAGAATGTCCAAGCAAATGTTGCCATAGACATCAACATTGGGATGAAAGCAGGCAGTCTCAAATTTAACCTTTGGGGGCTTAAAAGGGTAATCATTCGGGAATGCCAGAGATAGCCTGTATTCTGTTCCTTCAAATACAGTATCTTTGCTTCCTGTAATTGTTCCTTTCCAGCAAAATATGTTGTCCTCTTCAGGGAATGCTGATATTCCAGAATCTCCACTCATCTATGATTAACAAATTCAAACATGATATTTAGAAAACCTATAGGACAATACCCTCAGTCACTTAAAACAAAAATGTACTAAAAGATTCAAGGCAGCAGAGTTCCTGTTCTTACCATCAAAGCCATCAATTCAGATTGCAACCTGTTGACCACAAAAAAATAAAAAGAGAGGGAGATTTAGAAATTCACACAGAAAAAGAGATGGGTAAAAATCAACATATAACTTTACATTCCACCTGGTTAAGAAACAAAATCCAATGTAAACAAAGGTAACAAAAACCCAAAAAAGAAGATGCAGAGGCAATAAAAGAGAGAAAAGTAAAAACCTTTTAAGAACAGATTGAGAATCAGCAGTCTTAGCAGTGGGGGCTGGCTGTTTCGTTCCAGTACTAGTGGCCACTGGTGTGTTTCCTTGGTACCCATTAACGGTTGCCATTTCCTTCTTTTTCTTACTGTTGATTCAGCAGCCAAAATATATATATATATATATATATACGCAACAAAATCCAGCAAACGAGAAAATAAAGGAAAATTTTGAAGCACCCAAATCAAAGGAGGAAAAGGATATAAGAAGAAGAGAAACAAAAATGAGTTTTTCTCTTCTTTGTAGACACAGTTTTTGAGAGAGAGAGATTGAGTGATACGAGAGGAGAGCGTTTGAGGGAGGGCTTTGATTTTAAAACGTTGGTGAGGGAAGAGTGAAACGATGCCGGTTTGTTAAGGTTTATGGAATTCAAAAAAGGGGTTTCTTTTTTTTTTTTTTACCGTTGCAAGGTCGGCGTCTGCGATGCATTGGATTCAAACCTGCCTTTGGTAATCTCTAACGGCTAGTTCGTATTTCTCGGTTGTTTTCCTTTTCTGCCCCTCTATTTCTTTTTCCTCCCTCCTTTTGTTGGTTCCCATCAAATAATGATGCTAATAAATGGCAAAGAAAAATAGAAAAATCCCATAAATTTGATAGAAATTATAGTTGGGAAACATCCTCTCATTCTTGTGAAGTTTGATAAGAAAACATTTTAGAGTTAAAAGGGAATGAAGATTTTTATTATTATTATTATTATTATTATGTGTATTTTTAATTTTAAATATTTATTGAAAATGGAGATAAAAAATCTATATGTGTGTCTTTGATCATTCAATTTTTATATATTAAAATATATTAATAAATATTAATAAATAAAGTTAGGTGGCTCCTTTAATAATATTATAAAATTTCAAAAAATAACAGAAATTAAAAAATGAAGAAAATAGTTATGAAAAGGAATAATTTTGAAAATAAATAGAGTAATAAGTAATGAGTAATGAGATAACAAAGTAAATTTTAAAATAATAATGAATGATAGTAATTTTTTAAAAGAAAATCCTTTATTTTCTTCTTTTTTAAATATATATATATATAATCTATAGTTAAATAGTTGATAGGTTTGAAAATTTTAAAAATATATATATAATACTCCATGCATAGCACAAATAACCTACATCTAATACATAATCTCAATGGATTAAATATTAGGCTTAAATATTTCTTTTTTTTCTTTTTTTTTAATCTTGCTATATCTTATCATGATATTTCATGCATTGAACAAAAAAATTATTTCATTACTTTGAAAAATATAATTAAATATATGTAAAAACCAATGAAAAAATAATGGAAAATAGTGTTAGATGTGTTCATTGAGTTAGTGAGAGAGAACTTAGATATGGTATCAATATTTTATATATTTGGCTAAATTCAATCCAATTTTTTGAGTTTTAAATTTTATATAAATTCAAATAAATTATTAAATATTATAGTTCGAGGTCGCTCAAATAATTTTTTTAAGAAAATAAAAATAAAACATGATATTTTCTTATTTAATCTTAAATATTTTTGTTTTCTCTTTTATTAAATTTAAAAATATGAATAATTTAATATATTTTTTAATGTTTACACTATACCATTATATATTTTTGATATAATATACATATAATAGTCGACAGGAATTTATTTACAGTAGTGTAAGCTTTATATTCCTTTTTTATCATTGAATTAAAATAATTAAGATTAAAAATATTATTTTGATATAAATTAATTATTAATTTATATTTAATCCAAAGGTTAAAACAGTTATACTAATATAAATAAATTCTTACTTTAAAATTAAATAAATATATAAATTAAAAAAAAAAAAAAAAGTCAAGCCGAACTCCAACCTTAGACGTCGGAGTGACGGTCCAGTCAATTTTTTAAATGGACGTCTATTTTTTTTTTTTGTCTATAACCATAATATTTTTATTAAATCTGATAATTTATATTTTTATATTGTATTTTATGTCTAGTTTGACACAATATAAATTATAAAAATATAAATATGATATAAATTATAAAAAGTGTTTAAATTTTAAATACGAATATAACACATTTAATATATGTATTACATACAATATATTTAATATACGGTTACACCACACGATACTATAAATATATGTATAATTAATTCATTTAAATACGACACGAATAAACATGACTAACATGAATAATACAAATATGTATGAATAAACACGATTAATATAAATAATACGAATATATATATAAATAAATATAACTAATACGGATATATATGAATAAACACAACGAACATAAATATATAAAACACAAATAAAATAATAAATAATTATAAATTATTCATTATTTATAACTTAATAAATTTGACATATTAATAATAAAAAAAATTATTTATTAAAAAATAAAAAAATTTAATACTCATTTAATATGTATTTTATATATATATATATATTAATTCTAATTTATATTACATAATTATATTAACTTTTAATATCAAATTCAAAATAATAAATTATTAAAAATTAAAGAATAAAATAATAATATATAGGATGAATATTAATATTTATATTGTATTTATATTATTAATATAAAAATAATTTTATAATAATTATTAAATGAGTATCATAATTAAATATTTAAAATAATTTTATATATGATATTAAGTAATTAATTAAGTATTGTAATTAATTAAATTAAAATAATTTTTATATATTTATATGATAAGATTAAATTAAATATATTAATCATACGTATCATATATTTAGACAAATATATATATATATAATATGAATTATATCGTGTCAAAATTTATATCGATATGAATAAATATAAAATATATTTTTTAAAAATATATATAATTTTTTTATTTTATTTTTATTTCATGTCATATATGAAATTATCATATGGGACAGGCACGAGCTACGGTATCCTCCAAAATTTATTTTTACACAATTGTTGTAAGCAGTTGGGCTCACCAAAAATAATACTCGCCCCGCTCGCCTTTACCAGATCAATATGGCCCTTTTTAAAGCCTAAGTTGATTCGGCCTCAGCCTTTAGACAAATCCAATCAGTATTCTTACCTCTTTTATTTATTGAGTAATTAAATTTGTACAAATCAATACATTTGTTAAACAAATCAGTATTCTTACCTCTTTTATTTATTGATTAATTAAATTTGTGAAAATAAACACTTATCAAATGCTTAATAAAAAATAAAGGTTACCACAAAGTATCAGTGATATTTTTCATACTAAGCAAAAACAATTTTTCTTTTTGTTTTCATAATTGTAGATAACCCGAATACATTTCTAGTTTTATTAAATCTTTTGTTCGACACATTAGCTGCTGTTAATTTAATGTACAAATCAATAGCTAAAAACAACTTTGTGTATTTAATCATTGCAAATTTTTAAATATCAAATAAAAGATTTTACTATAATTTAGGTCTAAATGTGTCATTAATTCTCTTTTCATCCTTTTGTTGAATAAATGTGTAATTATTGTGCCTTTTGCCTTTTACAAAAACAATGCCTACATTCAAATTGCTATACCAATTATTTTTAGTGGTTTTCAAAATCATGGTTTTTCAATTACAACGTTCATGCAATTTTCGATCATAATTACAATCCCAAATTAGGTACTGGCACTGCAAGGCTCACCACACAAGGAAAAATCAATTTAGTTACCACTTACCATTGTGCAGGAAATAACTGCTTGTTATCACCAATGATATACAGATCTATTTCACATATATATGCTCACAAAAAAATTTAAAAAAAAAAGTCGAGGGAGGCGAAGAGAGAAGGGAGTACAGTTAACATCACTACTGTCAATTGACAAAGCCAATAGGGAAAGAGAAATGCTTAGCAGTGGAATTTGATTACCCGAGCTACCCTCTCAAAGAAAACAGGGCACATGTTCGTGCTGAACATAATGACATCCCTCATCCACTCCGGCGCCACTCTCTCAAATGTCCCTAATGATGATACACGGTACAGCAACTCTGATTCCTCCCCAGCTGCTCTGTTTATCCATGTTAGGCTGAATGAGTAACCTGTTTTATGTACCCAGAATCAAGAATGAATTAGTCTCACGGAGGCAGGAACCGATCATTCTTGAATAGCCATCAGAAAGAACACATGTTGGTCCTAATTTCTAGACTATAGGTCTAGGTAATTTGCTCAGCAGGTATAGCCAACAAACTTTTGAGTGAAAACAGAACAAATGTTCGTCTGGTCTGAGACACAAAATCCATTCAAACTGGAGAAAGCCTCCCCCTTCTTTTTATCAGTAGAAAGAAAAAAAAAATGAAATTGAGACGCAAAAAAGGTGTAATCTTACTTCTTACAAGTACACAACCATCAGATAACCTCAAAGCAAAACATCAACGAGACAAATTGGGCCAAGATTTGTCTCAGCCTATTTCACAGAAGACTTGCAAGATATAGCCCTGATGTCCACGCTACATTGTCTTCTCACACTTACTCATCTATCATACTTATTATTTACATAAAATATTAAAGATAAAAAATGCAAAGCATTAACTAATCATGGTGGATCTCCATTAAGTATAAAACAGCAGATTTATGATATCCTATTTTTTAAGTTATGACCTAATTTTCAGAAATCCAATCATTTATGTGAACCAGATATTATTTCTGCAAACGCTATATATTAATGGTGCATGTCTTAATGAAGTTTATTTAGATTTATGATATTAATGACTGTTATGTTTATTTAGATTTTTTGTGATCTTTCGAGAATTTTCTTTATTCTTAATAAAATATTTTCATGTCGTAATGAAGTTACAGCACACTACAGATACCACTCAAGCAATAGAAAACCAAGGTGCATAAACATGCTTCAATAAAATGCCAATTTATGGGAAAAATACCTACAACTAAGTCACAGAAGATGGAAATACTCGAAATTTAATGAACTGAGTATTATGCTTAAGTTAAGGAATTACCACTTGATTGATGCAGAGCTGAAATGCACAGTCCTTCGGTTTTATTAACAGCGGATATTTTCATGCCCACTAAGCACTCAATAAGAGCTTGAAACAGACAGTTATCACTAGCAGGGGCATTGGCACCTAGACTGCCTTTACAGCATTCCGGCTGCATTGTCACACAAAATAATCAGCACAGAAGTAGAAACTGACAGTTTTTGAATAACAAGATGTTCAAGTGAGGACATACTAGCTGAACATGCATAAGAACCTCACGAGATGAAGCATTCCCAGATAAGTCTTCTGCCAATGCACTCAATGTGGTAACATTGCAGTTAGCTGAACCAGGAGTGATCATACTGTCTTCTGTCTCAGTGGCAGATTTCCTGCTACGCTTTCTCGGCATCATTTGAGTGGGGCTACCAAAAACCTTTTCTGATGCAACTTGTGCACTTCCAGGAGAGATTATTGGTATATTATCTCTTTTGCCACCCTTCACATGTCCTTCTTGATGCAGATTTTGCAGCCTGTTAACTTCTTCAGAAAGTGCTTTATCTACCATAAATTTTAGCATTCAGTAAATAAAGAGCTAAAGAAATGCTTGATGACTTGACTAGAAAGTTAGAAGATCTAACAAAGGCAAATCATTAGTAGTCCAGTGCAAAAATCACTTCAATCTTGCCATTGACTAAAGGTGGCTGAGGATGGATTTTATACTGTATAACTAAAGGACATATAGACATTAATAAGAAAAGCTTCCAATTAGATCCCCTTCTTTTTTTTCAAAAGGAACAGTTTCAATCAAATTTTTTTCAGCCTATAATTGCCAGGTTTCTGAATATTCCTTTTGTTATTTACAAGCTTTATGTAAATTATTACGATGCCTTTGCTAGCACGATGTGATCTACAAGACAAGGGTGTATGCATGACAAAAAAGGAGGCTTCTGATTCAAATTTTCAGTAAACTCTGCTTATAGTAGCTCAACATAAATAAGTTTACTTTATCCATAAAATAAAAGCAAGTTTATTCTTTTATCACATACCCATTATATATTTGAACTTGCCACATAAAGAAAGGCAGTTCAACCAAAAATAAAACTAGTAAGCAGTTTGATATAATGCAAATCGATCCACAGTTTGCAGTGCTGTCATCATCAGAACACTAGAGATTACACCCAACTCAAGGCGCAATTAAAACCTTAACTCATTAAAGGAATCCTATGTGTAAGACAAAATTCCCTCACCTACCATTCCTTTCACCTTTAATGGGTTAAAAATCCTCATTTTCTCATTGCCCTTTAGCAATTTTTTTCTTTCCGAAACTACTGCCATGTCTCCAAAGGCACCATAATTCTGATACTTGAATTTCTTTCAATTCACAGTTAATTATTTGTTCAAACGACATTTGAACATTACCCATGGAAGAATTGACACAAATGTTTCTTGTCCCATGAATCATGTATGGGTGCGAGCCTCAACAAACAGAACAGAGAAACAATACAAGACCTAACTACCTACTTCAAGGTTAATGATGGACCTCATTTATTTTCTATTCGGACAAGAACTTGAGCATAGAAATCCTTCTTAAACCAAAAAACGAAGTTTTCTGTTCTGTAGTTATTTAAACTGATATGAAATATTATTTATTTTCTTATTCTTACCCAGAATACCTAATACCCTCAGCATCAATTTATGCCAGTTTTCTTGCAATAGCATAATTCAGTTCCTATATTCAACAAAGATGAAGCAAGAAAAAGGCCAAGAAAGTCAAGGGTGTTAAAGCCATAACACATATATATTCTAAAATGGAAGATAGGGATATAAACAACAATCATCAAATAATCAATCATTTCTTACTCTTCTGATTCTCTTCAATCAAAAGCTTTTGATAGTCTGCACATTGCTTGTCCTTGCTGGATCTGCAACATACATGCACTTTAAAATTCAAGAAAGAAGAAAATGACAACATGTAAAGTCCAAAAGAGAAAATTAAAATTACTTACATTACGGAGGCCACTTCACTTCTCAGCTCATTAACTTCTGCATGCAACTTGTTATTTTCACTCTTCAAGTGCTGTATCAACTCCTCTGCCACTGCAACAACAGAAAGCAAACAACTAAGCATTTTAAGAGGGATCCTAAATGATTGTTCAAGTTTCATTGAACTACTAATGAAACTAATAGATAATTTGTCAAAGTAATGAAGATAGAACTTCTGTTCAAGTTTGGTTCATTTAATTAGTAACAAGCTCAAACAAGCATTTTATAGAACCAAACTCAAGCTAGGCAAGCAGTTTGGTTCATCCTACAGCATTCATATTCATGATTATAACTTATATAACAATCAACCCATTTCTTCAATAGACAAGACTGAAATGTCATGTGTTCTTCAGCTCTAGAGCTTCGAACTTAAATATTGGTTCAACAATCAGAACAAGCTAATGTAGAAATCTAGTGTAGCTAGTTTCTACCATCACCAACAAAAAAAATTTCAAGACACTAAAGCCACAATTAGACAGCCACACATGAGGAGGATTGACTAGAAACCCAATACTATCCTGTTTCTATTTTAAAGCTTTTCATCAGACTGTACTACAATCTTATTACAACTATTGATAAAAATGTTAGTAAAATGTGAAACTATCAGTTATGAGATCAGTCAAACCATTAAACCATATTTTAACTTCCATTTCATTAGGAAGGTAAAAAATAAGAACTTATCTTTAATATAAGAACCAAAATCAAGGGATAGATCTATTTCGTTACATTTCTATGATATATGCTAGATATAACATGTCTAGATAAGCATGGAAGAGAGGAAAAAAACTAAGATAAGACTTTGAGATTCACATAAATTATGAAGATGGAGATAAAAATAAAAATAGTAACTAGAAAATTAAGATATACTTACCAGCCACATAACTTAAGAATTTCTCTTCTTGATCTCTATTTATTTCATCCATTTCAGATAGTTTTCTCTTCTGAAAAAGAAATGAAAATAAAAATCCTATCATGTGAGTAAAGATAAAGCCGCATTTGCTTATGGAACAGATGGAAAAAAATTTTGAAATTTCCACTTTAACGAAACTAAGATAAAATTGTATAAACCTTCACCTTGTTGCTGAATTGTCACTCCATACAAATACTAAATGAAAAAAAAAAAAGGAAATTTTTAACCATTTTCGTTCTATTCTTCGGCTTTATTGGCAACCAAACTTAAAACGAAAGATATAGTATGACAGACGTAAAAAGAATGAAAAGATTGAAAATCTATAAATATCGTTAAAAATAAATTTTAGGGAAAAAATAGATGTGAGACCTTGAGCTTGTCATATTTATCGTAAAGTTTTGCATATAAAGGCTCCATCTGCAAAACAAATAAAAATAAGAAAAAAAAAAAGGTTAATTCGTATACATATAGATTGTAGAATTATGGAAATTTAATTAAGAAATTACTCACTAAAATTAATAATTTTGGAATCACCTCTTAAGTTCTTAAAGAAACCCTAGCTCTCGTGTTGAAAATCGATGAACACGAGAAAACGAAATGGTAAAAAGAGGAATCAAAACAAAACGAAGAACGAAGTTAAAAAAGACAATAAAAAAAAGGCTCTTCCTTTTCTTTTCTTTGTGTTTCCTTTGCTCTCTAAGCAACCAATCAGAAATTATCGAGAAACGAGAAAGTAAAAGGAGAAATTGGAACTTGATAATTCAGGGATGAAATGATAATAACGACAATGATGATAATATAGCAAGGTTAAGTAGGATTTAAAAGAGGAAAAGAGAATTTGTTTATTTTTACCTATGTTTGGTAGGCTAGAAACCGCGGGAAAATGGAATTTCAAAAATCCAGGAAACTCAGCTCTTCTCTCTCTCTCTCTCTCTCTCTCTCTCTCTCTCTTGGTTTGCTTGACTTGCTGAAGAGTGAAGAAGCAGCGTCAAAAGTGAAAACCATGGGAAATTTGAATATTTAACTTTTCTTTATTTAAGAAAACAGAAACGCTGTCGTTTAATGCTGTTGCACTATTCCCTACTTACACGGCTGGACTGAGCCTGTGTTGGCTCGGGCTTGGCCTGATGACAGCTAGCTCAGGCCCCCCCATAAATTTAAATATTTAATTTTTTTATACTTTCAATTAAATTTAAATAAAATATGTAATAAACTCATCTGAACCATTTTTGTTCATTGTCGTTAAGTGAAAAGTTGTATTTTAAAATTATCAGGAAAAATGTTTTTGTTGAAGATTCCATAGCTTGGCCTATCTGTTTCGGTTTCGTTTGCCGGCAAATTTGGAAACCAAGGAACAAATGTGCTTTTGTAAGGTATTTTCTGTGGGATCAATTTTTTTTTTATTAATAATAATGTCAATTTTATTTTAATTGAATTATTTCTTGTTCTTTATTATATTAAATAAATTCCTAAACGGCAACCCTTTGTCTACTTATCTATTGACAGCAAGCTTTTTAGTAAGAGCTGATGATCCAAATTTGATGTTAAGGCTTCAAATTACTCCAAATGTACTTGCACTTTTTCTTCAATATTATAGGTATTAAGTCATTTTGTTGGGTAATTAATTATAAGGATGTGAAATTCACAAACATCCCCTTAGGACATCCAAAACCAAATGAATATATTCAATATTGTAAGACCCAAAATTGATGGCACTTATATTCCTACAAATTTTAATTTGTCAACCTTACCCTTTTATTATATGATGTCAAGCATCTATAATACGTACCCCATTGATTAATATTAAAAGCAATGGACCGTGTTTGGACCACTTGGTTACCCACCTAAATAAACTTTGGGAGTACCCTAATCTAAAGATGTCGAAAATGACCTCTTTTTTTTCTTTTTTTTACTTCATTTTCCTCCCTTTCTGTCGATTTTAAGAGATCATTAAACATTAATCTCAAAAGGTCAATAACATTTAAAAATCATCATGAAAAAAAATTTAGGTCAAATTTTTTAACTAAAAATGATTAAATCAAAATTGAAAATCTAAACCGATAATTCAATATAACTCTCTTTAAATGAAACATATATATTTATAAATATTTTAACAGACATTAAATCGATAAAACATTTAACTATAAATTATGATATGTTTTATCAGATAAATGAATTATGAAATGATATGTAAATTTGCGTAATTGAATTATGATATCATATTATATTTTTTATTTGAAAACATATGAAAGCATTATGATATGTTTTAATTGTTCATTAATTGATAATCAAATTTTGTGTATAAATAATATTTTGAGTTAACTTTCCAAATATTTGTGATCAATTGATAACCATTGAATTTCATCAATTGATCGCCTTTGATTTATTTTGTTTTATTTTAACATTCAATTAATCATTTTTAATTAAGATTACATCTAACAAACCCTACTTTTTACTCATAAAATAAATTTGATAAAATTAACGCTCAAATCCATCTAAACAGTAACATATATCATTAATAAATTTAAACAATAAAAATGCTTTTATTTTTGGTGGATTAAATAGCTTACTTATACTTATTTATTTTTGCATTTAAAATTTAATTTCATTAATAAAATTAAGAGTTTAATATTTTATTAACATATTATCATTGATAATTTTATATTGTTCACCTTTTTTCCTACTATATAAATTGTTTATTTATATACATGCATGGCATCAACATCATTAAACTATTTAAAATTAATAAGTCTTGCTAATTTCAAATTAAGTGATAAAAAGCCAAGTGAAAAAATTTTCCATTATAATATTTAATATTTTTATGTACGAATCTCCATTTTTTTTTCTCGTTTAATAGTATTAGTTTGTCCTTCTGACTTGTTCAAGTCCTCAAATTGAGCATAACTTGTTTAAAATAAAGACGAGGCAAAGATGACAATTCCATTTGTACAAATCTTTTTCCATTTGCCATTTGGAATAAAGATTCTTCTTATAAATTTCTATGATTAAAATATCATTAACGACAATTTGCTTGTAACCAATTTGAGTCCTTCTTTCTTCGTTTTCCCTTGTTCTATAAGCTCTCTCTCTCTCTCTCTCTCTCTCTCTCTCTCTTTAATTTAGAGAAATTATAAAAATATATAACCAAAATATTTTAAAGAAAAAATAAAATTTTATTTGATTTCGTTTTACATTTATTATATCAAATCACTAAACACCCATAATAAAAACGAAAATAACAAATTTTGAATATTAATTTATGCAAAAATAATGTCAAAATATCTATACTTTTATTTATGAAAGAATGAGAAAAAAATGTTTCAGAATTTCAATTTTTAAATCTGTTTAACACCTTTAAATGAATATTTTCAATATTTATTTATAGAGATTAAATTTTAAGATTATGATTTTTTAATTATGTTATTTTAATAAAAAATTATACTTTTAATCAAAAAAATACATTTTTGAATAATTAAAATTATGTTAGTTCATTTTAATTATTACTATTTCATTTAAACAGAAATTATTTTTCATATTTTTAAAAATTATAATTTTTTAACTAGAGCAGTTGACAACCTTTTAAAGGCTACGACTGTCTTTGTGTAATTTCATTTCAATACATTCCATGAAACAAGACAATTGATTGTTACCTTAAAGCAGTTGGCCTCAGTCGACTGATCTTGATAAAATAATCAGTTGCTCTTATGGTAAGTATTTTTGCATTGATTCTTTAAATTTAAAATTAATCTTATTAATCATAAAACATTATTTTAGGTTATTAAATAACTTACTTATGATAAACTTAATCAAATTATTTTCTTATTTTGAAAATGTTTATAACAAATTCTTTAATTTAGCACATGTGGAATAACAATTTCATTTGGCAGGAAAGATATAAAGATGTAAAAATATTAATTTAATAATTATTTTTTTACTTTGTAATTTAATCATTTGATTAAAAATTTTTTTGTGTTCCTTGCGTAACAAAATTTCAATATTTTCATATATATATATATATATATATATAACAATTATATCAAAAAGTAAGTATGCATTCTGTCAAATCTATGTAGAAACTTGAAGAGAACGCCATGCAATGTGTTCCATGATACTCCTAAGTCCTAATTTACCATCAAACTTTTGACTTTTAAAAAATTTCTTAATTGAATATGAAAAAAGTAAATTTATTAACAAGTAATTAATTTAATTGATTAAAATTTATATTTTTTGATGAAAAAATTTTAGGTTTGAATATTGATAATGATCATTTATTGAGATTATTTTAAATGTATTATTTATAATTATTTATTTTAAATTATTAAATATAATATATTTTATTTTAATATAAAAAATTAAATAATTTACTTATATTAAATTTTTTTTAGTATAAAAAAAAAAAAAGGTGAATTTGTGATGCTCCCACATTTTATTCTCGGGACCTATCAAAATCTTTCAAGCAAAAAACAGGTTTATTTTGCTGTCTCCTTCGGAAGGTGAAGTTTCAAACCTACCCTTTAATTGTCTTAAATGACTTATAACTGTAACTGACTTTTTTTAGACCACGGTCCCCACTGACCCCACTGTCTTGCATGCACAACTATACACTTTTTTTTATTAAAAAAATCCCAAATTTTTAATTAGATAATTATGTAGTATTAGAATATAAAAATTATTTTAATTAGATATATAATTATTTTTTAAAAAATAATATTTAATAATTTTAAATTTTAATATATTTGTATGATTATTTTTGACAAATAATAATTAACAATTTTAAATTTTAAATTACAATATTTGTAAATTTTTATTAAAAAAATGTAAAAATTATAATTTAATGTGAGAGCTAAGAAAGGGTTCCACATGGCCTAGCTGGACAAAGTCAGAGAGCTGTAATCTCAATGGTTGTCATCAAAACTGACAAACATAAAAAAAAAAAAAAACCCACCCTCATAATTAATAATGGATTATAGAAATGAAATTTATAATTATCTAATATTTTTATGGGGTTAATTGCTGCAATCAAACTCAAGTGTTCCTGAAAATTATATAATAGTGGTATTTAAAAAAGGAAGGTTTTGTTAACAATGTTTTATTAATACATATGTTGGGTAGAATTTAGTTGGCTTATATTTTATCCATTAAAAATATGAAGAAAAGGGCAAAAAAGATTCCTTCTCCTTCCTTTGCAAAATATTTTTATTTAAAGTAAATGAAGCTTTTGAAATTACCAACTTGAAAAAAATAAAATTAATATGACAACCATATCATCAAGTCTATAAAAATTAAAATACTTTACTTATAAATGGTATTACAGAATATAAGCAAATGTCTTCAAGTTCATACAAATAAAAGAGAAAATATTAATAAGTAATTATTTAATTAATTAAAATTTATTTTTTTTGACGAAAAAATTTTAGATTTGAGTCTTGTCAATAGTTACTTGTTGGAGTTATCTCAAATGTGTGACTTGTAATCATTTATCTTAAACTGTTTGGTATGATATATTTTATCTTGATTTAGAAGACTGAATAATTTATTTATCTCTATATTTTTTTTATAAAAAAAAGAAAATGTCTTAAAAAGAATTTATATACTAACGTTATTTAAGATTATTTTTATTATATTAAAATGACCATACAAATTTAAATTTTTATTTAATTAATTTATATAATTATTTAAAAAAATATTTAAAAAATTTCTAATTTAAATATCAACATCTAACATTTTTTTTATTCTCAAATTACAACCGTTTTTGAAAAAAAATCATAAACTAAAAGAATTATATTCATATTTCACTTGGAGTTTAATAAATGTTTTTTTAGAATATTAATTAATAAAAAAATTAATACAAATTTAATCCAATTAACTCTTATCATGTCTAACAAATTTAAAATTTACATCTAAAACCCATGACCTTTTATTTTTCCAGCCTCATTTATATTAAAAAAAACTTTGATTTGCTAAAAGATTGTATGTAATTAAGTTATAGAAAAACAATGAGCGTGTTCTAAGCCAAAGGGTCCCACATGGATGCATGTGTGAGGGGTTTGGTTTCAGAGCTGCCATTAATACCCCATATGTTGCGTTTGTTTTAACTTTGGATATCTTTTTGGCTTTTGTACATAGGAACATCATCATCATCACGGCTTTGAAATGCTTCAAAGGCAATGAATTAGTCATTTCTATGGGGTATACCCTGAAAAAAAAGAGCACAGTCAAAAACAGTAACTGACTGACGTCTTCTCTTTTTCTTTAATGCCTAGTTTTTGGTCCTTTGCTTTCAAACTTTGGAATTTTCGTGGTGAGGGTTTTTAGGGGCTCATAAAAAAATAGAAAGTTGAAAGTTTTATTCATTTGGGTTAGTGGGTTTTTATTCTGAGAGGCTAAGAATTGGAGGAGTTGACCTAAAAGCTAACTTCTTATTGGTGTCTGATTAGAGGATTCTCTGGTTTTAGGCAGGGATTTGGAGGTGTTTTTGAAGTGGGTTTGGGGGGCTTTTTCTCAATGGGGTTCATGGAATGAATTTGGGGATGGATTTAAAGCAAGGTTTTTTGAAAGATTTAGTGGGTTTTCTGTGAACTAAATGTTAAAGAAGAAGCTACATTTTGGTTATTTTTCAAGGTTTGACTGTTGAGAAAAAGCTGGCTTGAGTAATTTAGGTTGGTGTTTTTTTGGTGTGAGGGTTGTGGTTTAGGGGTTAAAGTAGAACTGGTTTCGTTTTAGATTTCGAAAGAGCCCTGTTTTTGGGCCAGTTACTGGTATATTGCCATAAACAAAGGATTCTTGAGTTTCTAATTCTGATATAGGGTTAAAGGATTTGTCCTTGGGATTCTGGAGTAGACTGTTCAGAATTCTGCTGCTGAACTTAGTTTTCTTTTCCCACTGAAAAAAATGGCTTGCATGAAACTGGGATCCAAAACTGATGCGTTTCAAAGGCAAGGGCAGGCTTGGTATGTACCTGATCTCTGCAATTCAACTACATCTCCATCTCCCTCTGCCTATATATATTCTGTCATTGCCTATTGTAAGATTATTTTTATTATTTTTTAATTTTCTTTACTATGTTTTAATCCTCTTGTGCATGTGTAAAGAGTGCTCTTTTTCTGTCATTTTAGCATTTAGTTTTAGTTAAAATTTTTAGAGATACTTTTATGTTTGAATTTGGATGTATGTGGATCAAGAGACATACTCGTATGCATGTTTTGATTGTTGATTCAAGCGACCAAGTTAGTTTTGCTTGATTAGGAAAGCTCACCTGCATTTATATTGCTTTTGGTCCACAGTTTTGTGTTTCATACTCCTAGTCTGAAACTGAAATTTTTATACTAAAATCAATGAATTGCTTAGGAATTCATTCAGTTGGTGCAAATACTGTTCAAAAGTTGTTTACTCAATTGAACTTTGTGAAGTTAATATTAGGTAAATAGACTTCAATTATGCCGTTGTTTTTTGTTGAAGTAACTCTGTTTGATTAATGCTTCAATTTGTAGAAGATGAGTAGCTTGTCCATCATCAACAAACTTGTAACTCGGGAACAATTTCTTTTGACTCTTTCACGAATGTAACCGAGATGACCAGTCTTGGCTTACTAATTCAGTCTTCGATAATTAAAGAAAGTTACCCTTTGTTTCTTAAGCACTTTAACATCAAGCAGTTATGATTTAGGCTGTAATGAGAATGTACTAGTCAAACAATCAACAGGAGGGGGGATGCCCATGTGATAGGAGACCTTGATACCTACAGTAAACCTATATCTTATCTTGTCCTTTTTTTTTACATTTCCTTTTGCTTACCTAAAGAATGTTAGATTATGCATTTTGTGAACTATGATAGAATAAGTAGCTTAGAATGACTACTGGGCTTGGCTAGTTTAATATCATGTTTAGATTAATAGTACTAAGGTCAGAAACTTAGAAAAGATAATTCTCTTTTTTTTTTCTTCCTAAAAGACCAGTTTAATGTCCTGTCTATTTTTAATGTTAATATTCCTTTTCAGAAGTAAGTAACAGATCTGACATTTTTTATCAATGGAACCAAGCTTGTTAAGAACAATGGAACAATAAGAATGTGGTATTATTTCTTATCCTAGTTACTGCAAATGTGGTAATCCCAGCATTTGGATGAGGACACATATTAAAAATGTCATGCGATAATGACCATTGAGATTGGGTTAGTAGTGTCTCATGTGTATAATAGATGGAACCATTTCATATTATTGTATATTTTAATTAAGGATGAATGATGGATGATTTTTCTTTAATAAGAATATTTTATAATATGGGGCCAAGCTTCTTTAGTTTGATCCTAAGCACCCTGCATCTCTCTGTGCATGTGAGAGTCTTGTTGTATTTGTCTCTATATTGAGCTTAATATACATGTAATATTTATAGGTTCTGCACAACTGGACTTCCTAGCGATATTGTTGTTGAAGTTGGAGAAATGTCCTTTCATCTTCACAAGGTAACTTTCCCTTCATCATATGTATACATCATTCTAATTGGTGTGCGTGCTTGCCCTCTTGTACTTGTTGAAATTCACTGAAGTTATTATGTTTATAAAATCTTTCCGCACATGTTTACAAGCTTCTGCAAAAATGAAGAAAGAAAATCCCTTCCCATGCCCCATACCATCTTTCTGAGACCTCATGTATTGGTTTCTTATGAGTTGAGATGTTTCACTTTACTTCTGTTTTCATGCTTTTCCTCTTAAGGATGAGCAGTAAAATATTTTGCGTGAACTTGTACGTGTTGCCACATGCATAGTAAAATGAAGTGTCTATTGTCAAATAACTGTACATCATTAAGTTCTTACTCATTTAACTATCATTTGTTGCAGTTCCCTTTACTCTCTAGAAGTGGGGTTATGGAAAGATTAATTTCTGAAGCATCTGAAGAAGAAGAAAAATGTTCCATATGCCTTCCTGACATTCCTGGAGGGCCCAAAACTTTTGAACTTATGGCCAAGTTCTGCTATGGGGTGAAACTTGAACTCACTGCCTCAAATGTTGTGTACCTTCGATGTGCTGCTGAGTATCTAGAAATGACTGAGGAATATGGGGAAGGCAATCTTATTATGCACACTGAAACCTTTCTTAATCAAGTAGTCCTCCGAAATTGGAAAGACTCTCTAAGAGCTCTTCAAACCTGTGATGATATTATCTCTTATGCTGATGAACTGAACATTACAAAAAGGTGCATTGAATCATTAGCCATGAAGGCCTCTACTGACCCCAACCTATTTGGGTGGCCCATAATGGAACATGGTGGTCCTATGCAGAGTCCTGGTGGAAGTGTGTTGTGGAATGGGATAAGTACAGGCGCTAGACCAAAAAATTTAAGTTTAGATTGGTGGTATGAGGATGCATCAACTTTAAGTTTACCTCTCTATAAGAGATTGATTGCAGTCATGGAGTCTCGTGGTATCAGACAGGAGATTATTGCTGGGTCTCTTACTTTTTATGCAAAAAGGTATCTACCTGGTTTGAATAGGCGTCAGGGTGCTAATGATTCTAATTCTAGTGCCCGTCTTGGACCTGTGGCCATAGGGGCTCCTCCATCAGAAGAAGATCAGAAGCTTTTGTTGGAGGAGATTGATAGGTTACTTCCTATTCAGAAGGGCCTTGTCCCAACCAAGTTTCTCTTTGGACTGCTTCGAACGGCCATGATTCTTCGAGCAAGCCCCTCGTGTATATCTAACTTTGAGAAAAGGATTGGGATGCAACTTGATCAAGCAACTCTGGAAGATCTACTGATGCCTACTTTCTCTTATTCTATGGAAACACTTTACAATGTTGACTGTGTGCAGCGAATTCTTGAGCATTTTCTTACCATGGACCAGATCACTGGTGGAGCCTCTCCATGTTCAGTTGATGATGGTCAGATTATTGGCTCACCTTCATTAACACCAGTTACGATGGTAGCCAAGCTAATTGATGGGTACCTTGCAGAGGTTGCTCCTGATGTTAATTTGAAGCTCCCCAAATTTCAGGCTCTTGCTGCTTCTGTTCCAGACTATGCTAGGCCCTTGGATGATGGTCTGTATCGTGCAATAGACATTTATCTGAAGGTAATATCTAAGTGCACATAATTGCTACTTAGGTTGTTTTCTTCAGTTTGATGTGCTGCAAATATTGCGACAACTACTTTACTAGTCCAAGAACCGTGTAGCAGTTGTACCCAAATGCAACACTCATATGTTTAAACTGCAATTCAAGTTGACCTTAGAGTCTCTCCTAAGATGTTTTGAGAATGATGTGATAGCCTTGACTTAGGTTGGATTCCTCAATTATTTAAAGACAAAATGATATAAGTTCTCAATGCAAGATGTTTCTATCTTTGGTTCTTTGTCTGGCATTTTAACCTAACTCGCATCTCTTGTCTGATTGAAACAAAGTTAATGGGCCAAAAAGCCAAATCTTATATGCATGGATTATAATGGAGCTTAAAATGTATTGGAGCAAAAAAATTGCCTTGTTCCTAGAATCAATCTAAGAGAAAGTAATTTGAAAAGAAAAAAAAAAAACCGGATACCAAAAAAAAAAGCTTGAAACCCTTGACTGGACAGTTGCTATATTTTTGTTTAAACTTGTTAACTTTCCTATATTGTCAAACTTGCAGTCACACCCATGGTTGTCAGAATCCGACAGAGAACAGCTATGCAGGCTCATGGACTGTCAGAAGCTCTCCCTGGAAGCATGTACCCATGCTGCACAGAATGAGAGACTGCCACTAAGAATAGTTGTGCAAGTCCTGTTCTTTGAGCAGCTTCAGCTTAGGACTTCAATTGCCGGTTGCTTTCTGGTTTCTGATAATCTTGATGGATCACGACAGTTAAGAAGTGGGTTTGCAGGGTCTACTGAAGGAGGCTGGGCCTCAGCTGTGAGAGAAAATCAGGTTTTGAAGGTAGGCATGGATAACATGAGAATGCGGGTTTCTGAGCTCGAGAAGGAATGCTCGAACATGAGGCAAGAAATCGAGAAGCTAGGCCAGGTAAAGGGCTCTAGCACTTGGGGAAACGTCTCAAAGAAATTCGGATTCAAGTTGAAGTCTCAAATGTGCAGTGCACAGGAGGGTTCTGTTAGCAACCAGAATAATGGAAGTGGAAAGACTGAGAAAGTGAAGGACCGGCAAGGAAAGCACAAGAAAAACTCAACTCCAGATGAGTAAGACTATTGGTTTTTCCTCTTCATGTTTAGATCCATTTGTGTCATTGTTTGTTTTGTTCCTACTGTTTAGTACCTTAGTTGTGCTTTAAACTTTGTTAAACTAGCTTCCCACCTTTGATCTCACTGTAATTGTGTGCCATACCCTCTTTTTATATTTTTTATTTACTCCCCGCATTCTGAATTATGTAATGGAGATAATGGAAGAAACTGTAATTTAATTTGTTTCATGTAATAATCCTGAAGCCATCTCTTCCTCTCTACGTGAGGCGCTTGTCCTCACTGTGAAATCTGCCTTTCTGCTTATAGACAGTTGAAGCTCAAACACAATTAACATTAATATCTCAACCTTACATGGATGATCCCATCCATGACTCAATTTTTTTTCCTAATCGAAGGAGAAAATTCTAGTACACATGTAAAACTACGTTGAAATTACTTTTTAGTACATCTTTTTCTTTTTTTTTTAATAAAACTTGGATTCATTAAACAAAGATACAACTCTCTTGTAGTACAATATCATTAAGCTAATACGGCTATCTTTGCTAGCCTACGAGCCACCTTGTTTGCTTCTTTGTGCTAGTTTCACTGTGGTATCCTCCACTAAATTTTCTATCATAGATAGGTTGGGTCTCATGCTTTGTTTAAACTGTGAAATTACTGTGCATCACCTTCTATGATCATCTTCTGCATTCCCAAGCTTCCTGCAAACTTTGCTGCTCTGGCCAACGTCATGCCTTCAATGACTTCTGAGTGTGTGATGCCATTCACGGTCATACAGAAAAGCTCTTTTAACCATGCTCAAATGGTTTCCTGCGACAACTCCAATTCTTGCTCTATTCTCTTTTTTTCAATGGCCCATCAAAATTAACTTTCAACCATATTTTCATAGGTGCTTTTCATTTATTTACCGTTCTTCCATTGTTGCCCTCTCCCTTTCTTGAGCTCTGCTATACTTTTGCAAGAACTGATGTACAAACGTCAGTGTGGCATCAGCCGTTTTGATTATATGGGGATAAAGTACAAATTTATCATTTTATTTATGTGAGTAGATCAAATTTATCATTAATATTTAATTGGTGTAATTTTATGATCATAGTTTTAATTTGAAACAAATTTACCATTATACTATTAATTTTGAAGCAAATTTGTTCAAAATGTTGCTCAAAATGTGATGATCATAGAATATTTTATAAAATATTTCATTAGCAGTTGTTCTAAAATATTTCTTAGGTTTTTATTTTCTTTTTCCCTTTTTATTCAACCTTTTCTTGCAAAAGAAATTTTTTTTTTTAGAAAAATGAAAGTTTTATTTTTTTTTAAATAAATATAATCTTATTATTATGTTTCATGGACTCAGGTGCAAGTATATATCATATACAAGTAAGTATTTAAAAGTCATACTTGTAAATGCTCAAAAGTTTTGTACTCATAAAATAGTTTTAAAGTGTTCAAAAATATGATACGGGTATGTGGACATGTTAGTAAGAAATATAAAAAAAATATATTAATGTAATTTCTAATGTAAATAAAATTTTCTCTCATCGATAAATCAATAAAAAAATCTTTTTTATTATATCTTTAAATACTTAAATTAATTTTAAATAATTAAATATTTTTGTTCTAATAACCTTAATCTCCATTAATTGCAATTGGATATTTTATCATCCACACATAATTTATCCATTTATTTATTTTCTATAGGTACAATTTCGTTTGTTTCGCAAAAAATGATTTTCAAAAATTATTGTCATATTTTCATGTGTTTGTTTGATAAAAAATTAGCTAGTTAACGGAAAATAACTTAATGGTAAATGAAAAATGAGATCATTTTTTTAAAAATTTGTATAATGAATTTGAAAAAAAAAACATTTTTTGAAAAAAAGTTATTTATGAGTATAATTATTTATTAATATTTTTAAATATAATTTTGCTTATAAATAATATTATATTATAATATATTAATAAATAATATATTATTAGTACAATATATTAATAAATAATATAAAGAATAAAAATAGTTTTATTTTAAGTATTTTTTATATTAACATAATATTTTATATTAAATATTATTATTAAAATATAATTATTTTTGAATATTAATAATTTTAATAATAAATAATTTCAATATATTTTAATAATAAATAATTGTTAATATTTTAATTGTTATATTAATATTATTTGAAAAAAAATAAAAATTTCAAAAAAAATCAAACAATGAAAAATATTTTTCATTAAATCATCTAAATAATAAAAATTACTTTAATTTTAAAAAAAAAAATTTTCAAAAGGTATTTTTTCTAAAGAAACGAAGCCTAAACATGTACTTAAATGAAAAAGAAAAGTAAACATGCATACAACACACAAAATAGGCCCACAACGGCAAAAATTCACCGTTTTGCTACCCACTCAAAACTCACCGTTTCCTAACCTTTCAGTTTAAACTCAAAAATTCAACCCTAAACCGGTATCTTTTCTTTTTCTAGCTGCTGGTTCCTGAACCGCCTTCAATCTCCAAACCCAGGCCACCGATTGTTTCTTTTCCGGTCACCGTCAGGTAGCATATCCTTCTTCTTCTCTCCTTTTAATTCTTCATAACCCCCAAAAAAAGCACCTTCAAACCGGAGATCAAAACCCAAGCCGCTTTCCTTAACCTTCCTCCATTCCTGTTATCTCCAAGAAGCAGAGTCCATATTTTCAGCCGCGAGTCAGACACATAACTCGTGTGTGTCTTGTCGTGTTGAGTCCATGCAACAGTGTTAGTGTTAGTCAACCCGTTACGTAATTTAAAACCCTGATGCAGTTTTTGACTAGCGCAAAACCCACCCTAATCCCTGCAACCTGTGGAAGAAGAGGTGAAAGGAAAGAAGGCCAAATCAAGATGGGTATGAAACTATTCAACGACGACGAAGGTCCCCTAAACGACGACATATCGAAGATTGAAATCAACAACGAGTACGCTCAAAGATTCGAGCACAACAAGAAACGGGAGGATCTCCAGAGGTACGAGGAGCTGAAGAAGAGAGGAGACGTGGAAGAATCTAATGAAGAATCTTCTGAAGAAGATGATGATGATGAAGATTATAGTGATCAAATTACCCTCAGAAAGAACGATGGAGATTTCTTTAAAGCTCTAATTAGGGTGAGGAGTTTCTTTTCAAATACCCTTTTTTTTTAAGTTATTTTAAGCCCTTATTGATGTTGTTTTTGAGTAGTTTGTCGATTTTTTATTGATTATGATTTTGCTTTTTATGATCATAATTGGATTTTTTAGTGGTTACTATGTTAGTAATTTAGGTAAGTCTTAGTCTTTGCCTAGGAATGAGTTTGGAAATTAGGAAGGATGAAAAAATCGTTTCAATCTGATGGCTAATTTTCCTATTTAATCATATGCTCTGAACGAGTCTAATCAATTCTCAGCTTCTGAAATTAGTTGTTAAAAATCTAATTTAGCAATGAACTATGCTAGAATGAGCCATACATTGTTTCATATGTCCCGTGCACAACTTTTTGTTGAAGATTGAAGTGGGCAAAATATTGAGCCGTCTTTGATGATGATTTTAATCTAATTGTAATAATTCTTGATCTTTGGAACATGTTAAGCAATGTAATGCAGTAAGTTTTTTAATCTTTTGTTGAAAAATTCATAAATTTTTAGTTCGTTAAATAGGACGTGTGGAATTATCTTTGTCCAATATATATTAATTTGTATCTTGCACTCTTTTTGCGGCTTGCACATTCACTCGGGCGAGTGCCTTTTTTATCACCTTGTGCCTTGGGTGATGAAGCTATGTTTCTGCAAGTCTAACTCATCTTTTTTCCTCAAGCACCTGCATAAGCCACTTTTCTGATACCTTGAAGTGGACATGGATATGGTGCCTCAATCCTCCAAATATAAGGACAAATTCACAAAATATCAAGTGAAGTAACGCACTAATTTTTCAAAGATAATTAATATTTTCAGGACAGAAAATTCTATGTATTATGTCTGATAAGCTAAAATATATTATTTTGTTAATAAACCTTAAAGGTTTATGCCATTACATTGCCTAATGTGTTTTAACGTCAAGAATTATCATAATTAATGCCAACAAACAAAGTTCCAAGTTTGCTTCACTTCCATCTGTAACAAAGAGTTGTTCATCAATAATATTATTTAGTTCTCTATTCCTGTAAATAGAGTTGAAACTGTCCTTTTTTTACTATCATGTGGTCATGTTAGTTCCATGGCTGCTAGGCAAAATCGTTTTCTCTGACAATGCTTTCTTTATTCCTTTCTGTGTGTGAGTGAATGAAGAGAGAGAGATGTAATAAAATTAAAAATCTTTATACACATAAAATAAAGCTGACTATTGTAATCTACACTCCCTGTCTCTAACCCACTTGAAACAAATTTCTGCCTGAACATTTGCATGTTGGTAAAAAGCTTTAACAACGTGGCTTTATCAGGTGTTTGTTTATGGATGTTAGATTGGAAACAAGATATGTCTGTACTGATGACATTAACAGATATAGGAATTAAGTGGCCCTGAGTAATGTATAATTTCTTTCATCTGGACCTATGCTTTTGAATTGAGGACTTTTTAGTAATATGATATAACTGTTTTCTTTTACTACATTGGTGTGAAAACTGAAACTTTTCCAATTTATTGATGATTGTTCATTTTGAATTTGCATGTTCTAACCTAGGTGAGAAGTCGTGACCCTAGATTGAAGGAAAAAGATGTCAAGCTTTTTGAGTCTGATGATGATGAAAGCCACAAACAAGAAGAAGAAAGTGAGCAGAAAGAAAAGAAAGATAAGAAAGCAATGTATTTGAAAGATGTGGTTGCAAAGCACTTGATTGAAGAAGGGCCGGATTTTCAGGAACAGAATGCTGTTGTTAAGCAGAAAAAGAAGGTAAATACTTACGACGAAGAACAAGAAGAGATAAAGAAGGCTCTTTTGGATGCAACACAAGAATTTGACAATGAGGATAATGGGGATTTCTTGAGAGTAAAGGAAACAAAGGGTGAGGATGACAAGGAAAAAGAAGATTTCAATGATGGGGAATTAAAGAAGTTAGAAGAATATTTTGGGAAAGATGAGAAAATGGACGAGAACATGAAGTTCTTGAAAGAGTTTTTTAAAAACAAGATGTGGATAGATAAGGAGGGGAAAGGTGGAGATCTCGTGATTGATAATGAGGTAGTGGATGAGGTGTTGAGGGATGAGGAGGAGATTGAGAGGCAAGAGGGGTATGAGTTGGAGTATAACTTCAGGCATGAGGAGAATGCTGAGGATAGAGTGATAGGGTACTCTAGGAAAGTAGAGGGATCAGTGAGGAAGAAGGAGAGCAAGAGGAAAGAGCAGAGGGAAAGGAAGGAGGAGAGAATGAGGGTTGCAGAAATGGAAAGGAAGGAGGAGCTGAAGCATTTGAAGAATTTGAAGAAGGCAGAAATTAAGGAGAGAATGAAGAAAGTTATGGAGATTGCAGGCATTAAGAAAGATGAGGAGTGCCCATTTAGTGCAAAGGATTTGGAAGAGGAATTTGATCCTGAGGAGTATGATAAGATGATGAAGGCTGTATTTGATGAGAAGTATTATGATAATGAAGATACGGAATTCAATAGTGATAGTGATGGAATTGAGAAACCAGACTTTGATAAGGAGGATGAGTTGCTTGGACTTCCTAAAGGATGGGATGTGCTTGAGTCTCATGATGGGTTCTTGGCTGCAAGGGAAAGGAATAAGCACAAGTTACAGAGTGGTGGGGGTAATGATAGTGGAGAAGAAGAGGACTTTGAACACAAACACAAAGATGATGGTGATGATGACGAAGCTGATAATGAGAGTGAAGGATACAAAAATGAAGATGAAGAAGATGATGAGGAAAGGAGGGAAGAGGAGACTGAGGAAGGCAAGCGCAAGAGGAAGCGTAAAATGTCTGTTGTTCAGAAAGCCTTACAGGAAATGTGGGAGGAATTTTATAATTTGGACTATGAGGATACAATTGGAGACTTGAAAACAAGATTTAAATATGTCAAGATCAAACCTAATAGGTATGGGTTGAAGCCTAAAGAGATATTGGCATTGGATGAGAAAGAGTTGAATCAGTATGTTTCTTTGAAGAAGCTTGCTCCATATACGGATAAGGAATGGAAGGTACCCAACAGTAAGAGGTACCAGCAGAAATTGAGGATTAAGGAGCTTCTCAAGGAGAAGCGAAATGGTCAAAAGGCTGGTAAGAAGAGGTCAAGAGATGCTGTTGAGCAATCGACTTCAAGATTTGGTGGTGGCAAGGAAGATAAGAAAGCAAAATTAGAGGATTCAGATGGTGATATGAAGCATATATCTAAGCAGGGCAAGAAAAAGCGTCGTCAAGCATCTACAATATCAGAGTCAAGGCGCAAAGCATATGGAATGATTTCTTCCAAACCAAAGAAGAATAAACACAAGCATTGACCAACTAGAATAATTCTGTACGAAGCAGTAGAGGTATTGAGATTTTGATTTTATTCACTTGTGTTTAAAATTTATTCTTGTGGGTTGTTTCTTTATAATGAATCTGATTAAATTGTCTCCTCATTAAGCAAAACAAGGAAAGTTGAGATTTTGTTATATACTTTTATGTTTTCTGGCCATAGATTCTGTTATATACTCGATTTTCTTGTACTGTTAATTTTAGTAACAGACCTTCCTAAGCTTTTCTGTTAGAAGAATTGGCCATTAATGAGTTCACAAAAAGTCGGTGAGACAATGGTAATAACGTGGTTTGAACGTGCAGTGGTCCTTATTTCTGTTCATTACAAAGGGGAACTGCAAATGAAAGGAAAAGAAGTCAAATAATATCTGCACACACAGTTGGATTTGCCTCCATTGAAATCCTAAATTATTTTTTGCTTCTGCTTGAGCTCTCTCCTCAAGCCTTCTAGTTCTAGCAGCAAGTACATAAACATATTATTCTTGAGCCTTTCTTCCCTCATCTTCAAGTCCAGTTGGCTTCATAACTTTCCATCTATCCACCAAGAACTCTAATATATCAGCATAATCATTGGCAGTGTAAACCCCAAGTCTTAGTGCAACAGCTGAGGTTGTCCTGATCATCATAAAAAGGACAGGCCGGCGTTGTGATTTTCTTCCTCGTCATCTCGGCAAAAGCAATAACAATTCCATCAGGATCGATTTCGAAGAGCTTTTCAACTATTAGTATAGGCAATCTCATGGCGTCTTTCATCTGATGCAATTGTACCATATATTTGAGTCAACCTTAGAGTCCCATGTTCCATAGCAAGCCTAGCTGTATTCCTAAGGGAGATGAAGGTTGCCCTTTTCTTGGAAAGAAGAATACATGAAAGTAAGAAAAGGGTTCTTCTCTATTCCAGGATACATTCATGATCGAATCAAAATATTGAATGGTTTTCTCAGCCTGTCTCATGTCTACTCTTCCAGACAACTAAAGATACCAAGTTCCAGATTAACCTAAATTTTGATTGAATCATTTGGATTAAGTCTCTCTCTTTTATTTTAATATTAACGTGTATTAAACTTACACTACAGTACAAATTTTAAAAAAATTGTAAATTTTTTTACAAAACTCAATTTCAAAAAAATAAATCAGCAAAATGACACGTGCTCATTTCTCATATATATATATATATAATTTATAAGGCCATTTTATTAAATTAAAAGATAATTAGTTATACTAAAATTATGTTGTCTTCGTGTTCAACCTCTAAGTTAATAAGTTTATGCAAAGAATTCACACATTTTTTTACCCAAGTAAGTACTTGCCCCAACCTCTATAATTAGCCACTTTGACTTTCAAGGTAATGATTGAGCTCATAATAAGAGTACGACTTGATTGAAAAGATATAAAAGTAAGAGAAATAAACATAACATTGCATAAAAATTTGGAATGGAAAATCCAGCTTTTTGACAGAACTCTAAAAAAGGTACTTGTTATTAGAAGTATTGAGTACTTTGATTTGATTATATGCATGCGTTTAGTTTAGTATTCATCATAAACCAATTTAAGACAGGTAGGCAAACAAGAAATAAACTTTGAATAATCTCTTTCCCCAAGGAGGAAGAAACTCAGTTTGTTTTTATTACAAAACATACAAGTGAAAGATGTTAGACAAACACAAAAATGCAGACATGATTCAATGAGTTTTCTTGATGTGATTTTGGCAGGAAATTAGTACAGACTCACAATTGGGTTGATTATGAACATCATGAATTGGTGAAAGCCGATAATGCTTCTGAATCATGAAGTTTTCAGAGCTGATAATGCTTCCTTTGTTGTAGCTGAGATGACAGCATCTGAAGCATTTGGCAATTAATAATACTTTCCTGCAAGATAAAATCAATAATGACTATTTTATTGCATTCGATATGCATAATAAAAGAATAAATGTTTCAGTAGACGTACCTTGAGCTACTCTAGCAATTTCCTTGGCAAAACCAGTTAAGACAAACTTGTTCTCTGTGTCAATAACAAGGGATATTCCTGCTTTGTATATTTTTCCAGCCACCTCAAGAATCTCATCCTCCAATATTTATATACATAAAATGCATGAAAATCATTTGGCCAAACCTAGATAACATTCAGGAACCTTCATTTGTAGCTTTCAGCTCATATCACTAAAAAATGAAGGGTTCAAACACGAATAATGTATAGTCTTTTGCTTGCAGACATAGTTATAAATTGCGACCACGTCCAATTAAAGCCTATAACAGGGGGTATATTATAATTGTAGCAAGACTAGCAGGCTTCTTACCGATGGTCATCATGCTATATAACTAGTTATAGTGCCATAGTTTACCTTCAACTCTTGCGCTGAGGGTTGAGGGGCATCAGAAGCAGGCGGCAACTTCGGGGTCAGTGGATCTTTTCAATGATATGTTGGCTCTTCCATTAGTTATTGCAACGATCATTACACGTCCCACATCACCACTTTTCTCTGTGTTTAGCCCAACCCTGACAGCCTTGCAATATTAAAGTTCAAGAAAAGGAAACTGTGAATTTGTATCAAAATATGCACTGAAAAGAATTTCATTGACAAGCTCAAAAATAGCATAGAGATGTAAACATGCAGTTATAATTCACAAGAAAAAAAACATTTCAGATTTATGAGGCAACAATATTACAACAGCCATGATGTGAAAGTCATTACCTCCAAGTCATAATGACATATAGCCAATGCAGAATAATATGGCAAGGCAGCCATTATGTATCAATATGTGTCATTGACTATTAGTTACGATGAATCGTTTCAGAAAATCTGTGCCACAAATTGAGGGATTCACCTTATATTATATACATACCATGCTTAAACCATGAGCTAGGGGAGATCCACCCCCACATGGAAGTCCCTTAAGACGTTTTCTAGCCATTGCAATTGATCAGGAAGGAGGCAGAAGGACTTCTGCAGCATCTCCACAGAAAGGTATAATCAACATTACCAGTAAATAGAAACAAATTAACTACCCTGAAAGGTCAGAACAAAATTGTCTCTAGTTTACCCGATCTCTGCTTGTATAACTCTCAGCCAGTAACTTAAGTGCAGCACCTTTAGCATTTTGTATTAGGTTCAATGCCAATGCTGCCACTTGCATCAACCACTAATATTACGTGACATGAAATATATATTTTATGAACCCAAGTACTTGAATAGAATTTATTTCACTCTCTTTGGCAGATCCCAGTTGAAACAATTTGCTAGAACAATCTTTCTACATCAATTTTACTCTGATCCTTATGTTTAAATATTATGCAGGCATTCAGTCATGATTCTGTTGTACTTCATGGTAAATGCTGATAATTCAAGATATTGTAGACTTGTATGTTTTAGTCGACACCAATGGAAGTTCAGAAATTCGTACAATCAAAAATCCTTTAAGAGTACATACTAACATAAGTATAATCATGAGGTTAAAAGAAACACCGAAATACATAGAACCACTAGAAAGTATTTTTTTATTGATAAATAAATAAAGTTAATAATAGATGTGAGCAATAGAAGTAGCTCATCAATGCCAATGCTCCCACTTTCTTGCCATTCTTTCAGCCCTCATGTCAGTTTTCTCCACAAAAACTTTCCTACCTTTTTGAAAGTCCCTCTCCCTACGCAACTTTTGATATGGTACAGCAGCTCTAAGTATTACATAAACAGCTAGTCTCTTCACAGGGCCCTGTTAGAAAAACAATGCAGCTTATTCCAAAAATGAGGTTAAGAGTGGAAAAACAATGTATAGAAGATTGGAAAGAGTGAAGAAGATTGCTAATTACTGGTTGATTTTGAGATTTCATCAACACCCAACTGACAAAACAAAATATTCAACTGAAAGGGGAAAAACTACACATAAAAAAGGTAGAATATGGCAGGACATACAAGAATGTTAAACCCTTCATTGGGGGTACATAGAATATTTTGGAAGTTTAGTTTGCAAAATGTAATATTTTGACAGTCATTATATACTTCAAAAATATTTTGAATTAAAATTCAGGAGGTTTTGGAAGCTAGTGGCAACCATTCCCTTTATCCAAACTTGCATGGTTCAGGGAAGGGACAGAACTAACCTTTGGGAGCATCGGTTTAATATATTGGCCTCTATCCTCTGAGAATATAACATTCTTTGCTCTTCCAGCTTTCCCCTAGCACCTCTGTGCTTGTCGTGAAAAAAAAAGTAGTTTCTCATCAACCAAACCCCCTTCTGCATCAAAGATAAATTCTTCAGGTATTTGCTCCTGTTGTTGCTCATTCTCCTGATCACTGTCATCCTGGTTGTAAACAAAGCATCACAGCTTATTTCATCAGTAAAATAGTTAATTTTTAAAGAAGAAACGATGATAGCTAAGTCCTCAATGATAAGGACTTTGGCAGATTTTAGTTGATAAACAACAATTCCTGCAAAGAAATGACAAAATTTATTAAGAAACTGTATAGTGCTTAATGTTGAAATCTTAATGTCAACATACCTCTTAATCTTCTCCTCCTTCTGCTCCTCCCCAAATTCTTCATTTTGTGGAGGTGGAGGTGGAGGTGGAGGTGGAGGTAGAGGCTGTTGATTTTGTTGATCTGGTGGGACGGAGGATGACAAGCTCCACCTGTATTATATGATATATCAACACAAATTTATTTGTTGGTCTTCTAATTTTCTGCTTTCATGTCGCAAACAAAAACGAGTAGCTACATCATGAGGCAGATATTTTTTCCTTTTTAACTTCAATATTTATCCCCAACCACCCACTAAAAGAATAAATAAAATGAAGAGGAGAAAAGGTGGGACTGTATGTACTGTTCTCCAAAATAGAAGAAATATAATCAAACAGATAGGTAGCCATTAATTAGCAGACATTTCAACACAACCTGCAATGCCACCATAAATAAGTATCATATGTCCCTCAGTTGGAAACAGAAATATGCTCAAAAGTTGGTAGCAACTTGGAAATGGTAGAAGTAACAAGAAAAGCATATTCTATTTCAAGTAATTAAGCAATCAGAGGCAAGAATTGCTTAAAAAATCTAGACATCAAGAAGAAACAAATATACAGGAGGCCAGGGGATGAATGGATTCAACAATTTCTTGCAGTGCATTACAAAATAATGGGTGCCAAATCATAGTAAGAATACTTAACAGCTTTCTTC